CTTCAAAATAAATTGTATGTATAGATAAATTACGTGAATCTCACGTTAATTTTACTGCAGTTTTGCTGGATAAATTTGGGTTCGATTCTGAAAAGAATTGTGAGTGACCCCTGTACAGAAAATGTTGGAGTTGTCAAAAGTCTGGGTTCAATTCTCTTCACTGTTGGAATGCCATGATTGCAAATCCCCCCAAAAATACTCTACCGTGGTGTTACTTTTTTGTATTTAGAACACTTTAAAAGAGCCAATTAACCATTGTGGAAATTTATTTACATATGCTTCCATTTGGATTTTAGAAGTTGAAATAAAAGATATTTTCATGACATATTAAGTTTGTATTTTCGTGCTACTTTGTCGAGCTAATTCGTACGCATTTATTTATTTACGTATTCAATTTTTTTACCCAGGGTATGCCCAAACAGATAAAAACTGGTTTCCAATGGGGCCCTGCATACATACATGTATCAAATTATTAAATAATGTTAAGTTAAACTCATAGGGAAAAGGGAAAGATTCCCATATCTGGCCATCGCTTGTCACCCTGTGCACAAACCCTATGAGACTGGTCTGAACATTTCTAAGTGTTTTCTCAGTAAATACTTCAAAATTGTCCCTGCTAATTTTGACGTTTTAGGACATATCACTTTCTGATGGCTGATAGGTCACTGAAGGGGAAAATTAGTGATGGCCAAATATGGGAATCTTTCCGGCGAAAACCTCACAAAAACCCTTTTGAGGAAAAAAAAAAACACAGGGAAATTCCCGATCCGGCTTCAAATAAAAAAACAGTTTGGTTTTATACGCCAACACGGCTAAACAATTCACAATTGCAAAGGATATACATAAATATTTATTATTCAGTCAGCGTGGAAGGTAGTCTGAAGATCAGACATTCAGTGTGCAGAGCCACACGGACAAACGTCTGATATATCCCAGCATGCAAATTTTATGCGGCCCCGCGCACCAGCCAGTCGGAGTTGACTTTTAGAAGCTGTGACGTCATTTCAATCAGAAATGTGGACTAAGCTGTTGATTGGTCAAGTTGGCTGACATGTTTTTGTAATACAACTGGTTACGGAAGACCCGATACAAGGCGCCTGCTGAATGGTCAGAATCTCGAGGTCAAGACGCAGTCTGTTTTGCATAATTAATCACCAAATCTGTTCACATATCTATTCCATAGGCTACATGGGAGTTTGGCCTGCATGCACAATGATGCAGGCTGAAACAAAGCAAATAATGTTTACCTTGAAAAAGACGACGACCAGCAAGATCCTGCGGTGAAGAGTCGGAGGCATCTTGTCTCTTGCGTTTTCGGTTTTCTAGCTCCTTCAAGGCATCTTCCTCGGCAATTTTGACGCTCTTTAATTGTGCTGCGGATAGGTGTTCAGCACCCGTCTTGTCAAGCTGCGAGACTGTAGCCCTACCATCCTGGCTACCAACAGCGATGCAGATTTTTCTTTTTCCGTCGGCTACCAAGTCCTCGGCTTATTGCACAGCTTCAATCGCAGAGTTGGGATCAGATTTTTCGTTCAAAGCCAACTTTACTTTGTGGAGAACAATTTCATGCTTCTGCAGAATTCAAACTGGGCAATGCTACCTGGCCTTGAAAGCTCCTTGGTCTCCAGTTTATTTTGAAGTTCTCATATGGAACTAGAGTCCTGTTTTGGCGGCTTAAATAGCGTTGAACCTTTGGTCAAAGTAGTCCTTGAACTTCTCGAACATCAAAGCTGTACGTCCCTTTTTCATCAACATAGCCAAACAGCAATTGCAGGACAAGTATAAGAAATAGGCGTGGTACAGTAGCATTCAGCATACATGCCTGAGCCTAAAGAGATGGGCGTGGTCTGAAGACACAGTCAAATACCAATAGGGTATTGTTATCCAAAGTACCAAGGGAAATGCAGGGAATGCAATGCAGTTACATAATATAGAGGAATTGGGTCTTTGCATCAAACAAAACAAGATTCTTTATTAGTTTTTTTTCCCTTTGTAGGCATTTTAAAGTTTCTATTTTCTTGTAAAGATGTTTAATTTGGATGTGTATTATAACTTAAATTAAAAAAAAATATAATTAAAAAAAAAATTTGTATATTTATTTTTAAAAATGCAAGGGAGCACTTTTCCTTCAAATTAATTGAAGTTAATTTGAGGGTACTAGATGCGACAGCAAACCTTGAGACAAATGTAAACAAATTACACAGTTGTCACAAAGCATATGAATAAAGGTACCCTTTTAATATTGACCTTGACAAAACAATTTCCCAACTTTTTTTGTTAACTCCAGCAACAGCTTAAAATAACACAACACTTTTGAAAATAAAAATCTAATTGCTGTGTCCATTAATATATCCAATATTGTATAAGACACCACAAGAAATATACAAGGTAAACACATGCTGAAAAATATAGAATATCTTGAATACTAAAGAATGTTATGAAAGAGTGAGGAAATTGAAAGACTTGGTTTATAGATAAATTGTTCGTTTTTAATTACACAACGCCTGCATAAATCCCCATCGTCTGATTGGTGGGTCGTTGATCACATGTCATTGAATTATTCACGGCCGCACTGCAAAAATAGAAGTTCTATTCCACGGTAAACAGAAGTTTCATTGCACGGTGACACTTTTGGGGGCTCTGACTAATCAGATGACGAGGATTTATTCAGGCATTGTATAAAACAAATAATATATGTTTCACTACGTACAATGGAAAGAATAATTTCATTCGGTGACAGATGGACTATTCCATTTTTCGCCTCGTGGAATGGAACATTCCATCTGTCACCTCATGAAATTATTCGTACCATTGCACTCACAAACATTCATTCTTTGTTATAAACCTTATTAAGAATACAAGAACATCTGGTAAACTGTGAATAAAATACTACTGTCAAAAATATAGACTTAAAACTCCTGTAAAACAATAAACCTCCAGTTTAAGATTCTATTCCACATAATACTTTTTAAGTTTTGTACAAGGCACTTAAGAATTCAGCCATTAAATAGATTAGACATCTTGATATAGCTCAGAAAAAACTAGAAAAGGCAGCAAAATTTCTTTACAAAATAGGCACATGTACATGTATGTTGATCAGAAAATGCGACATTTGTAAAAACAAGCAACAACTTTACCATATTTAAACAATTACTTCGCAGTGTAAAAAATTAGTAGAGAAACTTTTCTAGACACGCAAAAAAAATTCAAGGAATGTTAACAGCAGAATATGTCTATTTTTAAATACTAAAAGTCACCTTGAATTTGAATGAAATAAATTATTTGTTCTACGGTAGTTTTGCACTCAAAACTATGTACCATTTTTATACAATTCTCCCTACGCACAGTATATACCGAGAGCTACCGAAGAAACAATAGGGACTAAATCCCATTTTTGACAATTAAGTAGATTAGTTCTTTGGCACGCAGTATTTTCATCTATGACTAAAAAAAAAAAGGAAACTCAAATACAGGTATGTACATAAGGGGATATTCACAATTCATCTCTGCAATTCAATATCCAAGAAATACCGGGCGAGTCCAAAAGAAAGTGACCGAATTAGAAAAAAAAAATATTTCAAAAAATATGTGGCTTGCTCTATTTTACAAAACTAACATAGGGATAAAGTACATGTTATTGACTAGTAACTGTGAAACTTTCACCTAATTTGCATACTCTGTTCCCAGGTTATGTCTATTTAAACAAGTCAGGTGTGTTTACAAACACAAATGCCCCGCAACCGTGACTGTTTCCATGACATAACACCACTCTAACATCAAATTACATGTACCTTGGTCAAATGGAACGTTCATTGACAGCATTAGTGTCTTCTGTAGGTTTTATATGAATTAATCCCTAATCCCTATGATCTCAGAATAAATACAAGATTTCTATTGTTTTAGCCACTGTGACCTTGACCCTTGACCTTTCGACCCCCAATGCGATAGGCTCCTTAGGATTGCCAAGGACAATCCACAAACCAAATTTGAAGTTCATATGTAAAGTATATCTCAAGTTATCGCGCTGACAAAATTTCTTTTGTTTTTGCCACTGTGACCTTGACCCTTGACCTTTTGGCCCCAAATGCAAAAGGCTTCTTAGGATTGCCAAGGACAATCCACAAACCAAATTTGAAGTTCATATGTAAAGTATATCTCAAGTTATCGCGCTGACAAAATTTCTATTGTTTCAGCCACTGTGACCTTGACCCTTGACCTTTCGGCCCCAAATGCAATAGGCTTCTTAGGATTACCAAGAACAATACACAAACCAAATTTGAAGTTCATATGTAAAGTATTTCTCAAGTTATCGCGCTGACAAAATTTCTTTTGTTTTAGTCACTGTGACCTTGACCCTTGACCTTTTGGCCCGTAATGTAAAAGGCTTCTTAGAATTGCCAAGGACAATCCACAAACCAAATTTGAAGTTCATATGTAAAGTATTTCTCAAGTTATCGCGCTGACAAAATTTCTATTGTTTCAGCCACTGTGACCTTGACCCTTGACCTTTCCGCCCCAATTGCAAAAGGCTTCTAAGGATTACCAAGGACAATCCACAAACCAAATTTGAAGTTCATATGTTAAGTATTTCTCAAGTTATCGCGCTGACAAAATTTCTATTGTTTCAGCCACTGTGACCTTGACCCTTGACCTTTCGGCCCCAAATGCAAAAGGCTTCTTAGGATTACCAAGGACAATCCACAAACCAAATTTGAAGTTCATATGTTAAGTATTTCTCAAGTTATCGCGCTGACAAGATTTGTCCGGACACACACACCCACACACCCACCCACCCACACACACACCCACCCACCCACCCACCCACGGAAGGACAAGGCGGAAACAGTATGCCCCTTCGGCTTCGCCGCGGGGCATAATAAAAAGATCACAAAATGCAGCTATCCACCACTGATCATTAACCAGGCTTTTGCACACATCTGACCCCATTTCTTAGAGGCAATACCATGTTATGGCATCTTTATACTGAGGGTTTTTTTTTTGGGGGGGGGGGGTATTTCGATATATGAAAAACATCACCTTTCGATTTTGTTCGGTATCAAAAACATTTTGTCACTAGACGGCATTATTGAACTATCATCCAAGCCTAGAAACATCTGGAATTTTCAGAAGAAAACTGATGACTGATAGAATAGGATGCTCTGGGATTTGTGAACAAAAACTCACACCTTGATGACTTCATCAAAGATGGGTATCCATCTCCAGCGGTTGCTTGATGATAAACTCTATGGTCTTCCTAGTCTTGTCGTGGTAAGCCTTCCTGATGATGTCCACAGCTTGTGGATGGGTCACACCCTGGAGAGATTCCCCGTCCACAGACAACACCTCACACCCAGCCTGGCCAGAAGCAACAAAAAAAATCCAGAATTCATCGGGTTCTGAACAATTCACACCTAACAGGATTCCAAACTCCCCACGATCCTGAATGAAGTGTTAAACGTCCATGCAATAAAAGGATACGTATTTCAAACACACCTTACTGCACGATACCTACAGTCGACTCTCGTTAGTACAAACTCAGCCGGACCTAGCCAAAATGTTTGATATATCAGAATGTTGTATTAATAGTGGGGATTTTTTTTACTTCAAAATCTGTGCCTATGTATGGTAAGCTCACCTGAAGGATTCCATCATCTGACGCCGCACCCCCTGGAAAAATGCGATCGATTCTGACCTCGGGCTGGTTCTTGCTGTCCCGTCCTCCAGAAACACTGATGCCTGCAGTATGAATCAGGGTGCAAGACAGGTAACAAATCTCAATTACTGACTGCTTTCAGCTTGTTTTTTTGCTTAGCACAAAACAGTTCCTGTTTTTGTAGAAAGTTAATTCAATGACGTAGAGTACGTACCCAATGAGGGTCTGTTTTTATTGAAGGAGACAGTCATAGTCTCTATTCCAGCCTGTAGTTGCTCCACCGTATTGTCATCGTTGGTGGAGGCAGTGCTGGATGCCTTGAGGTTCTTCATCTCTGCATCAATCTCTTGGAAGGGCGCCGGGTCGCCCAGGTTGATATCTTCGATGTCCATGTAGTCGCTGCTGAAGCGTCGCTTCTCTACCCGCGGGGCCTCGTCCTTGCGGAAACTGTTCTTCCTGTTGGGCAGAACGTCGAGTAAGATGCACAGTGAAAGTGTTGGGGTACAGGGTTGTGTAGTTGCGATCATGTCAATCACAAGTCAATCACTAGTTATCACTAGTTATCACTAGTTATCACAAGTCAATCACAAATCCAATCTCAAGTCAATCACAAGTCCAATCTCAAGTCAATCACAAGTCACTCACAAGTCCATCACAAGACAATAACAAGTCAATCACAAGTCAATCACAAGACAATCACAAGTCAATCACAAGTCACTCACAAGTCATTCACAAGTCCATCACAAGACAATAACAAGACAATCACAAGTCAATCACAAGTCGCTCACAAGTCAATCACAAGTCCATCACAAGACCATCACAAGACAATAACAAGTCAATCACAAGTCAATCACAAGTCACTCACAAGTCAATCACAAGTCAATCACAAGTCACTCACAAGTCAATCACAAGACAATAACAAGTCAATCACAAGTCAGTCACAAGTCACTAACAAGTCACTCACAAGACAATCACAAGTCAATCACAAGTCACTCACAAGTCAATCACAAGACAATCACAAAATATCACAAGTCAATTACAAGTCCAGTCTCAAGTCGATCACAAGTCGATCACAAGTCAATCACAAGTCACTCACAAGTCAATCACAAGACAATCACAAAGTATCACCAGTCAATCACAAATCCAATCTCAATTCGATCACAAGACAACCACAAGTTATCACAAGTCCCATCTTGTCAATCACAAGTTATCATAAGTCAACGACAGGTTCAGTCTCAAGTCAAGTCGGAATGGTCCTTTTCCTATTCTACCAAGCAGGCAAGCACCATCGCTTCCAACCACCCCCATATCACCAATATCGAACACCTGAATTTGCATGATTTGAAAGGATTCAACATTCATAAGATTCAAAACTCGAAAGGCCATCACTTTAAGTCAGGCCAAATTCCCAAATGTTAAAAAAAATAAAGAATGTGCCACTGGTTTACAACGCGGTGATGGGTTTTGAAAGATTCAATAACTTTTCCAGCCAAAAATAGCCTTGGGATAAGAATCAACAACACCATTTATTCAACTTAATACTCTTCTGTTGTGGGAGCAAGTGAAATCTGTACTTGACTTACAGAATGCCCTTCCTAGATGGCACGGGTGATGCTCTGTAGTCAGTAAAAGTTACTCTGAAGGGACTGCGACGACCACTATCAGAACTGTCCAAAGACCCGTCGACAGATCCCTCCACGGAAAGAGTGTCCTTGACCGGTTGCCTGGACTTCTTCTTGCTGAAATCCACCTTGGCGTAGATGGGTTCAGCTTTGGCCACGGCTGCTCTTGCTTCAGACTCGTTGCTGGATGGGGTGAGCGGGGAGCGCACGGTGTTAGGAGGAGTCTTGGGGATGGTTGGAGACGGGGGACTGCCCGGGGTGGAGACGGGTGTGGGAGGTAGGGACATATCACTGACGGGGGAGAAGGGGTTTGGCGAGGACCAAGCCGGGGATGTCGCCTCCGAGTTGTTGCCAGTGTCTTGACCGGAGTCGCCGTTTGCCCGGATCAAGCTGTACAGACCGCTCTTATTGGGCTTGACGGGGTTATCCCCGCCACTGCTGTTGGCATCACTGTCTGACGACCCGTCCTCGAACTCAGGAAGGTCGACTTCCTCATTGTCACTGCCGTCAAGTCCGTATATCTCAGCATGGTAGACTTCGGCGACTCGCGGTGAGAGGTCACCTGTCTCTAAGGTGTCATCTTCGATCCTAGGCAACACCCATTTCTCCTGCTCCTCTTCCTCATCTCGAACGACAAACTTGGGCAGCAAGTCCTGATCCGGCTGATCCTGTTTGCTCTTTGGTTTTCCCAACTTCTTGCCACCCTTCTCCCCCGCTTCTCCTAAACCCTCATCCGGCGATGCTCCCTGCTGATGCCTTTCCAAGATGACCGGAAGCTTCTCCACAGTGCTCTCTCGGACCGCCACGACAACTTCTCTTTCTTCATCCGTCAATAACGGTGAGGCATTTGAGGTCTTACTGCTCAAATTGGAATCGGGGGACCCTGCCTTCACGTCAGATTCTGAAAAGTTGTTTTTGCCAGGGTTTTCGAAGAGAGACATGGCGATGTCGCTATTGTGCAGGGAATTGGTGTCCTCAGCAGGAAACTCCTCCTCTTTGTCTGCTAGCTGCTCCGCGTATGCAGCAAGTTTTCTCTGGTTCTCCCTGCGTAGTTCCTTGAGCTCGTGCTGCCGACGCCTGTCCTGCTCGATGTCTTCCTGAGTCTGCAAGAAGAACTTGCCCTCTTCATCTGGAAAGAGAAGGTATGTCGGAATTTGAAACTTTGGTTGAAATAGACTTATTTCTTCCCTCTTCAAACCTTGTGGAAAGCAGTGGTATGCTATGCATGATGAAACATTAAATTTCTCTGTTATCTTTCTAAATCCACCAACATTTTAAAGGATTCTGTAGGATTGAGGAAGGGGTAGTCCAACCTTTACAAGAGGCTTGATGCCCTCTTGAAATTTAAGGTACAAAGATTTTACCATTGAGTTCCTGCACGGTGGATTTTGGGGAATTCAGTTCCCATGATAAATGCACAGTTAGTGTAAAATGAAACTTGTTTGAACTCATGTTTGTGCAAAAAAAGTCTAGTGTGACATAATTAAACAAAGGCTTCAAGTGTTGAGAGGCCTTTTGCTGAATAAAATATCATGCATACCTGGCTTGGTCTCCAAAATTGTCTTCTTTGGTTTACCAATGGAGTTTCGCCTCATTGAATTCAGCGGCTGTGAGAGATCTGAGAGAGAGACAATGGGAATCAAAATGGTCACCTTTGAAATATGAGCAGTGAGTTGTCTTGGAATTTGGCAAAAGGAGATGGCATTGGGCACAGGCCGTAGTGGTGAAACATGAAAAAAACACCCCAAAAAACACAATGTGTGTGATTTATTTTCAATTTTTAGATTTATTGATTTATGTAACCTCTGATATGTCTACTACAGTTATTTTAAAGAAACAGTACAAAAATCATTTATTGATTTATGTAACCTCTGATATGTCTACTACAGTTATTTTAAAGAAACAGTACCAAAATCACGGAAAATTGTGTGTTTAAGGAAAAACAATTGGCATCTTTCATTTTTACGACTACAAAACTTGGAACTTTAAAGGCCTTTTTCTCAGTATTTTCCTCATTTTGACAGCATTTCTCTCAGTATTTAACTTCTTTTTTGAAAGTTCGCAATAATAATGTCCGACTGGAGTGCAACAAACAGAATTGTAAGGAGAATTTTATTCAGTTTTCTAATACCTGCAAACCCTCATTTCGACCTCTTGCCCACTTCTGTCTCAGTTTGCCAGAAGGCCTGTAACACTCTCCTCTAGATTATGCACATATGAGGACAACAACGAATGCATTGTTGTCTCTGTCTTGCTGTCCTGATATGGTATATAATACATGTACGCAGTATGTTCGAAGACAAGGCACTGTGTTTCCTTTCGCTACTCAAATATAACACTCTCCTCTAGATTCGCACATATGAGGACAACAACAATAACGTTTTCTCTTTGTCTTGCTATCTTAAGACGATCCATTCTATCAAGGAGCCCCTTCCACAGATCAACGCTACTAACCTCGCCGTGCAAACTGCAGCTGATCGTAGGCCTGCAGTTCCTTCCGTGACACCATGCTGTCAAACCGGCCCAGGTCCGAGGGGGCTACCACCCCCCGGATCTCCCTGAGTAGCAGGACCTTCTCTGGCTTGTCCAGGATGACTAGGATGGGGGACACCAGGTTCTCAATGCGCCCCTCTTGGTGGTACTACAAAAGGAGATGTGCCAAATTTGAGGTTATCCAAAGAATAATGAAAGCTCAATGCAAATTACATAACAGCTCTTCGGTATATAAATATCATTCTTGAGTGAAAATGGAAGTTACTTAAAGTTTCATTCCCACGCTCTTCAACAAATTCAACTTTTTTGTCAATTAGTAACTTTTCAACTTGTATGTTTTATTCCAACCAAAAATCCTTCTTTCCTTTTTTTTTTTTTTACTTCTGCAAACCTCTGAAAAAAAAAAAATTTTGTTTTGGGCACAAACAGATTCGCTTTGCGAGCAGACTGGCTACCAGTCCGTACATTATCGATACTGATTGTGGGGCAGGAACCAGTCTACCCCGCGAGAACGGGAATTGTTGTTTGGCAGCCAATAATTCAAAATTATAAATTAATAATTCAATAACTAAACATGGGCCGATTTTTTTCGGTCGATGTCTCATTCAAAAGTGAAGAACTTTTGTATTGCTAGAAAAAGTAGCAATTATAACACAACTCTATTTTCAGGATAAAACTCGATAAATAGCAGAGGGAATACTCTTTTAGTCTTTGTCAATATATATACTTGACCATCAAACCACATGATTGTAACATTTGTTCTCGCTAACTCACCCATCGGACGTGTCTCATGATGGCCCCTTGCTCGTCGTCACTCAGCAGTTTCTTGGCCATGTCTTCCAGTACACTCATAGCACTGGCATATCGGACTTCTGAGTACATCAGCTGGGTGCCCGCACCGTGCGTGAACGCCGTGGGCTGCTGGGTGTCCATCACGGCCGCGTGTTGGGGAGGGACGGTGCTGACTGGCTTGGGTCTGTGTCGGCGAGCTATGCTGCCTGGATTGGAACTCGCTGTATTACACAAGGAAAAAAACAAAAATACAATTGAAGGATAAAGTATTTCTAGCCCCTTTAGATTGACAAATATTTGTTGGTTTGGTGTTTATACTTCCATGAAGATTTCTGTAACAGTCAAACCCTGTGGGCTGGGTAAAAAGTTGAAAAGTCACAATAGATACAAATTATATCTTGTTTTCCTGTTAATTTTCTGAACAGAATTTGATAAAGCTACTTTTGGGCATTTTATCATTTTCAACTCTGATCGGTCAAATTCTTCTAAACCACTGCAATTCAAAATGTAGGCCCTTTTTTTAGGGGGTGGGGCTGGGGGGGGGGGGGTGGTTGTCCATAAAGTCATAATGTTAAATGAAACAGGTTCGATTGAAACCCCACATAATCATCAAGTACAATAACAAATTTCACAGGGACTACCAAAATAAAAAAGTACTTTGACTCTTACAGAATTTTGATACAAGTAAAATAAAACTTTGAACTAAAAAAGTTTTCTCATGGTCTTTCTGTCATGTTCTAAAACAACAATGCAAAACTGAAAGCAGAAAAGTATAACCACAGCAAACCCCTTAAATGCTGGCAACTTTTTATGCCGTAGCAGATGTGACACTGAAGTTTCTGTCTTGAATGACATCACGGTTTTGCTCATGAATATGGAAATTTGCATTAGCATAAAAACCAAAAAGGCACCAAAAACGCCCTTAAAATAGCAGTATGAAGATTTAAAATAGAGTGGGCCCTTCAACGAAATCAATATTTTTTTTCTTCAAATGAACCATACAGGGAAACTCACTAGGTGAGATATAACAATTGAAAAGTTGAACAATGAAATTGACTGGAGCGGGGCTTGAACCTGCGACCTCCGGATAACCGTTCCGGTGCTCATACCAACTGGGCTGGATAGCTCAGTTGGTAAGAGCACTGGAATGGTTATCCAGAGGTCGCAAGTTCAAGACCCACTCCAGGCAATTTCTTTGATCAACTTTTCAATCATTAAATCCATATAACTTAGAATTCTTACCGACTGCTTCCCTTTCATTGGTCTTGCGGGTTGCCCAGTTTACAGTCGCAGTCTCTGATTGGTTGGTGTTATCACTGTGCGCTTGTGGCTGTTGTTCGATGGATGGCTTTTTGTTCAGGCTGGCATACATTGCAGATGAGGGGTACCTCTTTTTGATGTTTCTTTGATCTGCGCAAATGTAAAGTCAATTTTGCATAGTACGATAACACTGTGGCTTTGTGCAAGACATTATAATAGAAAGGACACTGAGATTCTGTGGACCGTACACAGGTATCCAGAGTTGTAGTCAAGTCCACACAAGTCCACACAAGTCCACACAATTCCACACAACTCCTCACAAGTCCACACAATTCCACACAAGTCCTCACAAGTTCACAATATCCCACACAAGTCCACACAAGTCCTAACCAGTCCATTACAAGTCCTCACAAGTCCTTTAGTCTCAAAGCAACTCACAAGCTATTCAAATGAACTGTGACAGAAGCATTCCTTTGTTACTGCTCAACCCACGTTACTTGTGACTGGACTTTTGATTTGCTTTACAGGTTGGGTTTTGAGCATTCTTCTGTTGGATTCTGAGGGTAGTTATTATTGAAACGGAACAAAAATGCATAAAATGAAATTCCTTAATGCAATTAAAACAGGACATCAATCCAAGTCTTACCCGCTGTGGCTTTCTTATCTCCTCGTCGTTCAGCCTTCTCCTTCTTGTCTTTGCTCCTCATCTTCATCCCAAAGAGGATCTCCCTGAAGGTGCGGTTTCTTTGAACTCGTCGGCTCTCCTTGCTCTGGGACTCGCTCTCAAACACCGGCAAAGCTTTCTCTGAGATGACAACGAAATGAAATTGGTTGCTTGAATGAAAAAAAAAGTGAATCTGATGAAAAATGGCTTATGCAGGGGTGAGATTGGGAGAAAATGAAAAATCCAAGAAATAATCAGCAAAGGGTTTGAGGGTCACCAAACGATAAATTTTATACTTCTAGAAAGGTGACATGTTCATTGTGCGCAATGTCATACACATTCAGGGAGTGTGGCCTAGTGGTTAGGGTTTGTGACTCATGATCAGAGGGTCAGGGGTTCGAATCCAGCTGCTGGCCATATGTTGTGTCCTTGGGCAAGCCACTTCACCCCCACTTGCCTCTTTTCCACCCAGGAGTATAAATGGGTGTTGACATTAGCTTGGGAGTAACATTCAACAGACTGGCGTCCCATCCAGAGGGAACAGAAATATTCTCTGTCGTTTCAAGGCAAGGAAACCGAGATAAATGCCGGCCCAATGAGCCGTTTTGGCTCCGGACAGACTTTCCTCTTACCTCCAGGAAACTTCATGCTTTGCGAACGGCCGATTCTCTTGTCGGTAGTCAGAGCAGTGGTGCCCATGATCATCTGGGTGCCAGACCGTGTTGGGCTACCCGTTCGCTCGCTGGGCTGCTTGGGCTCAGCTTGGGAGCTTTGTCCATTGGATGGTAAAGGCAGATGCTTCTACAGCGATAACCAAATAACAAAATAAGTACATGATTACTGCACTGTATGTGACGTTGACCATGTTTCTTACAATGAAAAGTACTAAAGCATTGAGGTCAGCAGCTGCGCCCAATTTCTTGGCTCTGCTAACCACAGAATTCCGCGCTCACGATGACCATTCTGTGCTAACCGGACTAGCAGAATAATTCTGTGCTAACCCTGTAAGCAATCCTTAGTTACGGGATGTACGTATGCACAAAAGCCAAAATTCCTCATTAACGCGTGAAATACGCTTACCGTAAGCACAGAATTTTCTGCTACAGTAAACGGGGATTTTTCGCTTACGGTAAGCAGAGCCCAGAAATTGGGCCCAGATGTGTACGGGGTAATGACTGTGGGCCAAGGTGACTAACAAAAAGAAACTCCAATGTTTTCATGTGTCAATAGTCACAGTCCTCATGTGAGCAAGGAGCCCGGACCATGATGTTCAGGGACAACATCTGACAACACTTTGACAATAATTTATTCAAGCTTGGAAAGTTTTTTAGCAGTAACAAACTTAATCAAAGTCAATGGCTGTTGCTCAAACATAATCACCACTATTTGAGCTCTGCATCAGCATGTCTGATATTTGTGGATTTTTCCTTTTTTTTTTTTTTTACCTGTATCAAGGAGGTTGTTTCCGTTGCTACCGACGACCGGGATGACTTTGGGATTGGCGTAGGTGACATGGTGATGGACTGGTTGACTGCCCAGGTGTTGCTCTCGTTGTGTGCGTGTGTCTGTGTGTACTGCTCGGCTACTTCTACAGGAATGGCGTCGATGAGCTCAGTGTGGGTCAGGGGCGTTGTGCCCGAGGTAGGCGAAGAACTGTGGTGGCCTAAAATGTCAACAAAAAAAACCCCAAAACAAAGGTTGAACGACGAACATTCACACAAGATGGATACAAGACCTGCTCTGCTCCCACGAATACCGGACGAAGTTGCAGACATTGTTTTTGCACAGAGTGCATGTGAAAATCATTTGAGGTTTTGAAATTTTCTAAATCACAAACAATAAAACTGTTTTTATAAACAGAGTAGTAACTTAGCATATCAGTATGCAGATTTGAATTTGAATTTTTTACACAATAATAAGTTTCTTTTCTTTTTTTAATAGATTCTTACCTTTTTGTTTAAAACTTTTTTTTAAAAGGAGGGATTTTTACTGGTGTTTTATCTTTTTTTTCGTAATTGTAAATTCTTACGTATTTAAATATATGTACATGTATACTGTTTTTATGTGAACATTGGGAAAACGAACTTCACTTTTATAATATTTTAATTGTGATGAAATTATTTTTTTTTTAATATATTGAATTGAATCGTGGGACTAGCTCTCATTGTTTCAGAATCAGCCATTCATTAATACTGGTGTTGATGGCTCAATGCTGCAAGGTCCCACAGACTTTTACACCTGATGCACCGCGTCGCGTCTGGCGGATTTTAGGTGAAAGGAAAATCAGTTGAACAAAAGCAAGCCTGTTAATTTAATTGCGAGTTTCCAATCTTACGTTTGTGCTGATCCTCTCGGTCCGGCCATGCGTAATCGTCGCACAGTTCGTTGTAGGCCGGGTACCGGTTGACGCTCCTAATGGTCATGATGAGGCACGGCTGGTTGCGTATCAGCTCCACGGCCTGGGCGTGGGTGGAATTCTCCGTGGTCACTCCGTTCACATCGATGATCTGATCGCCGACAGTGATACCGTGGGCCTCGGCCAGCCCGCCCTTGTCAACTCTGGAATCGAGAGAAGGTTTCACAACCACGGGTCAGAAAAAAATTTTGCGTCAAGAATTCTCGTCAAGTTTTATATGTAATATAAAGTGTTGAGTAGACTTGAAAAAATGAATGGGATTACTGTATTATGTGCAAGCGAGCGGGTGCGAGCAGACACAAATTTACTGCAACTTCTTTGCTTTATTAGGCCATGTGTGCTTCCTCTAAGATGAATTTGAGTAAAAACGATGTAAAATATTTGCTTTATCAAAACTTTTATTTTTTTCTTCAAGCTTCAAATCGTACAAAATTGTAAGAATACGCTTTAGAAAGCAAAAATGTACAGGGTGAGTCAAAAAAAGCATAACCCAAATGTCGGGACCATTGTTTTAGTGAAGTTCTACATGTAGCACTTTCAAAATCTAGGATATGAAAGCCCAATCCAAATGCTTTCTTTTAGTACAATAATCATTCCAATCACTCATGTTCTTTTCAAGTTACGGAATATTAAACACAACCACCGTTTTAAAGTTCTGTCCACGGATCACAACTAGGTTAGTGTTCTTTCAGCAAAACGAAACCAAATCACGTAGGGATGTGTGTGAATTGTTTTCGTTTTGCTGAAAGAACGCACACCTTTTTTTGTGATCCATGGACAGAACCTTAAAACAGTGGTTGTGTTTAAAATTCCATAAAATTCCTGCACTGTGGTGGATTTTGGAGAATTCAGGAAGCCTCCAAGCAGATATTTGAATGGTTTTAGGGTTTTATGAGACCTACTTGGATACGTAGATGCCCACGCCGTACTCCATCCCTCCTCTGATGTTGAAGCCGATACATCGCCGCGACGACAGCGTAATGATGACCCGCCTCTCGTCGCCCCGGCTCAGCAGCCGCGTCCCTCCCATGGCGGCGTGGGAAGGGTCTATGTCATTGAACTCCCCGGCAACTATCTTCCTTCGAACAGTGTCAAACCTAAGATACACAGTAAGATTTCGAATGTGCATGGACGTTGATATAAATTTATTCTCTCTCTGCCAATGATGTGCAACTATGCCATGCTACAATATATTTCATTTCATTTCACTTCATTAAATGGTTTATTAACCCTAACCAATCTAAACCTATCAAAGTTCAACAGCAGGTTTTGTTGAAATCTATTGGGATAGGTACAGTACCCCTAAAGTGATGGTCTTTTACAGTGGGTTTGGCATACCTCCAGAAACTAAGTCCAACAGTGTGTGTACGATGTCCCATGTGGGTGTTGGAATTTACCAGAATGGGTATGGTTCCTAGTAAACTATGCTAGGGGGTTAGGGTTAAAAAAAAAAACATGACTTGTAGCCAAAAGCTGAATTGAACATGATTTACAATAACTTGAAGAAAAAAAAGCATTCCGATAAAAATACCATTTCTTATTCATTTTGACTTGCATGGACGTCCAAAATCCCTATGTTTGCATTGTGTTTTAGATGCAATGTGCAGGCTCAAGGAGCCAATTTCAACAGAGCTACTAAAATACAGAACTACACTTTCAGACAGAAAGTTTGGCCCAGCAATAAGTTAAGTAGATGGTCCGCGATGGGAAAGAGGAGAATTTACCAGGTAGTCTTTTCCTTGGAGATGCGATGTCCCGATATCCTACCGGAGTGCTTGACCTTCAGTCTCAGCCTGCTGCTTCCCTGCAGCACCATGCCTGCACTGCTGCTGGTGATGTTGTCAAAACTGATGTTGTTGACCTCCAGTATCTGGTCCCCGGGGCCTAAGCCCAGCGATTCTATACAAATCAAAGAAATATACAATTCAGACCAGCTGTTAGAAGTTGTGACGTCCTTTAGAGCAGAACTTTGGCCGAAGCTGTTGATAAGTCAATAGCTTCCATGTTTTCTCATACAACATCAGGTTAACGAAGAAATGTGGAAGGCGCCCACTGAATGGTTAAAATCTGGATGTCAAGACGCAGTTTTCTTTTGCATAAATCTGTCCATGTCACAGAAGCCTGCCGTGCAAGTATCTATTCCATAGACTAAATTGTTACCCTTCATGGATGTGATACACCGGCAAAGGGCAAAATCCCAGTTTAAAAATTCATCAAATATTTACATCATTCCAAAGGAAAAATTCCACAAAAGGGATACTGCTTGTGTCTATATCAAATTGTACCAGGCAAGCTCAGAGGTTGAGTGACGAGCTTAGTGGTTGAGGCGTATTAAAGTGGGTCATAGTTTCAAGTATTACCCAAGTAAGATTATGAGTGAGTTTTTCTGTTTACTAGCTCTAAGGAAAACACTGAGAATGCAGTGCTTTAGAATGTTATTATGTTGGTGATAGAAGAAACCCAACATTAGAATTTACCTCTTTATAGGCCAAAAAAAGAGTCTCCGGTTTCTGGTATGGAGCTTGCCCAAAAAGTGGTGCGGTGACGCTGCCTTTTTTATTATTATTTTTTTTTACCGTTTTTTTTTCTTTGAATGTCGGCTGATAACTGCAAAGTGGTGCCCAACTAAACCCCATCTAAAAACACGTTAGAATTGTGCAGCAGCAGGATTCCAGTCAAACCAGTGAGTTTGGCGGTTTGAGACATCATCTTTCATGGAAAAAAAAACTTTTTCATTTTGCTGAGGCGCATGGCTACGGCACTGCGTGCGCAAACCAGAAACCGGAGACTTTTTTTTTGGCCTTAATTGTAAAAGCAAATGCTGCATTCTCTGGTGTTCCAAAGAAAAGATTTTAGAATATTCTTGTTATCAACTGTGTGCCTCATTATTTACATTTATAAAAAAATTCCTATTTGAAGTGTAAAATGTTTCAAAGACCAAAAACTGTGCACACAACAGCTTATATTTTCATGATTTCTGTAAATTGTTTTATTTCAGCGGGATTAGAAAAATATCCAATTAAGTACCATTTTTGATACTGCCCTTGCATAAAATGTTGCCAACACATCTCCTTCTCAAATTACATACACTGAATCTTCATCATAAATAAGATTATTGTTTTTGGACTTGTTTTCGTGTCTCGCTGTTTACCTTCCACGGAGCCGGGTTCCACCTCGCTGATGAAGATTCCCTGGCCGTTCTCCGAGCCCCCCTGGATACTGATCCCCAGCGCCTCCCTGTCCTTGTCAACGGTAACCATGCGAACGGCGGTAGCAGGGTTGTCATGGAAACCGTTCGTGCCTGGATGTACAAAATTAGCACCAGAAAAAAAACCTAAAATTAAAAAACCCTTGCTCATTTGCTATTGATACTTTAGCAATAGGACAAACTGAATTATTTTCACCTTTTAATCCAGCAGAAATTTGCTACTACTCTACAAGAGATAAAAAAGTAATTATTGAAATACAAAACCGGTTTATAATAAGCCTATCGCCATGTTGACAGGTATTTTTAATAAATTACCTGTAATGGGGTGCTTGAATGGTCAAGGTGGTGTTGTTGACCACATGGACGAAGCAATCAAATTGATTTTTGGGCCAGGCAGAGGTGCTTGTATGAAGTGGATGACCAATTATTGAGTTGACCTTGCAGCAAAAAAATAGTTAAGCTTCAACCTTCCCAGTTTTTATAATGAAACAGTGTTGTATGTGTAGTGTAAATTTTGGTGGATTTAAAATAATTTGCGTTAACCCTAACCCTCCTCAATCCTCCAAAGTCCTACATGTTTGAGAGGTTTTGTAGGATATTGGAGGATTGAGGCTGAACGCAACATACAATTTTGGAGGATTGAGGGCACATGGACATTCAGTACCGGTTGATTTTGGAGGATTGAGGCTGAATGGCATTTGAAGAAGAGAAGGATTTTGGAGGATTGAGGATGAATGCATTTTGAGCGCCAGGGCTGATGGAAGATTTTGAAGGATTGAGGCAGTGCGTATCCTTCATGTGAACATATTGGCAACAATTTTTGAGGATTGAGGATTTTTCCTAGCGAAAAGGGCCTAGGGGCCAGGGTAGGGTTAATATAAATTTGGAATTTTGCATTTGGGGAATAATGAAATTTAGGGTTAACTCTAGGAGGTATTCAGGAGATATTCTTGATTTCAAGGAGATATTCTTGGTTTCAGCAGAGTCCTAGAAAATTACTTGAAACAACGTTACTGTTTAAAGCCTTCCCTTAAATTTACCTTTTCCAATTCAGCAATAACCTAATCAGAGAGGATTAAATTTCAGGAAATTTACAGTACAGATACTGCATTAAAAAAACATTAGTTCATTTGATCTACAAAAGTGAAAAGACCTCATTGCCTTATCTGAAAGTCTATTCATTGGAAATAATCATGTATCGATAGACCTCCAAAGTAAACACGGTTTTTGGTCGTATACATGTTTATGTACAACTCATCTGATTCCTATGCCTGGGTGTAACAATAGCATTGTATAAAATTACTCCAGTCCGTTGCATTTCCACAAAAGAGAAACCCTTTGAATGGACCGGCGATTCACAAAACGGTTGTGTAGTGGAGGCCAATGTGTACTTCTAGGTACTCCAATAAATAATGGGGTTACCATGGATACCCGATGCCAGCGGTAAACAATCGGTAATGTAGCTGGTTGCCCTACACATGTAATAACAATCCAGTACACAATGAAGCATGCACTTTGTGGCATATTATGTTACGTGAAGTAAATGTAAAGTACCAGTATGCATGAATAAAACAGTGAAAGGTTGTTCTAGTTTATAACCACAATATTGTACACATATATGTACATGGGTTGTTGTTTTTTCGGGGGGGGGGGGTGATTCTCCTTTTTGTAATTAATACAATCTGGGTCATAAGTAATTGACAAATAATCTCTGAAAAATTATGACACGGCTTCACTGATTTTAATTTAGTAATGTCAAGAAAAAAATTGATTTCCTATTACATTGAACAGGATTTTGCAGGATTCAGGCAGTGGTCACCCCTCCATGGACCATATTCAAAAAATAATGGAGGAATTTGCAGGATTGAGGCTACATGTATATGCTTTTTTTCCATGAGGCCAATTGGAGGATTTTGCAGGATTGAGGCTACATCCTAGCAAAAAGGCCTAGGGAGTTCGGGTTAATATTTTTTCCATTATTCTAAAATATTTATATTCGTTGTTCGGCATGAATTTCTAGGTCGTGTCAGGTAATAGAAAGCACAGGTATTTTTTCTCGGTCTAGCAATGAAAGCACAAAAGGTTTGACCATTCCTACAAAACAACTGCTCAACAAATTCAGCTCAACACATAACGACGTTGGTACATCACCTGAATGAAAAACCAACCACAAGGCCACAGCATTCATCCTAATATCATACACAGTTATAATTCATGGGAACCACAAAAATATGCAATCGATACGTAAACTGTACATTGATCCATTTACACTCATTTCAACGTTAAAGTAATCAATATTTTCATTATTTGTATTCAAACTGTTACACGTACATCTGGTATTCCATGTTGTCCCGATGTTGTCCTGCCATTCAATGACTATTCACAAAAATATGTTTACTGTGTAAATTTGTAGGAATAATTTAATGCAAGGTACATGCATGTATGTATTCCTAATTTTTCTCAACAATTATTTTGACTGATATTTCTTGGTAAAACTTTTACAAACTTCTGCTTGAAAGCATTGGTGTATGATTTAAAGTGTGCATACAGTAAAATGAAAGGGAATGTACATCATTGGCTTTTGCTGTAATTTTCAGAAAATGAACTATTTGAGGGGTTAGTATAATAGATCATATATTGTTACACTGACATGTTTGAAGTTTTGTGTTCGAAAATGCTCGAAAAACCAAGAAAAACAAAAATGCTCAAGTAGTCTGGTTCCCTGACTCCAGTAAAGATAAAATGGATCAATTTATAGATGCCGGAAAATTATAAGGTAAGGGAACCAGTCTAGCTGGCCTGCACCCGTTCATGAACATGTAACCAATAGCAAACAACATTTTGACTGAAAAAAAAAATTGTAAATTTGGAGCAGTAGTTGAAAAATAGTTATGTTTTCCAACACCGACCACCGTTGGAAATGTATACAAAAATACCATTTTCTTGAAAATGACTTCACACCAGGTGCCATAATTTACAGGATGCTTTAGACTGTCATTTACCAACATCCTAGTAAGGTATTTCGTAAAAACTTGGTAGTTTTATTTTTCGATGTTTGCAAATGTTGTATATATATTCCCTTTAACACTATGTACGAGCCATGCATACAAACATGAAACAATTTTCCAAAAAAAACCACCACCCCTGATTTTAAACTTGAAGTCAGAACTGCAAGTCCTGCCCAGACTTGATTGTACCTTTGGCTTAAAATTGCATTATTTTTGAGTTTCATTCTGAATTTGTGTTTCTAAATTGCTTTTTTTTCTGGCAATACATACAAGTTATTCACTTTTGAATGAGTCACGGACTGAAAAAAAATCAGCCCATGTCCACTTATTGAATTATTACTTTACAATATTGAATTATTTATAGCTGCCAGACAATACAGCTGTTTTCGCGGTCGCGGGGTAGACTGGTTCCCGCCCCACAATCAGTATCAATAATGTACAGACCGGGAGCCAGTCTGTTCGCAAAGCGGATCTGTTTGTGCCCAAAACAAAAAACTTTTTTTCCCACAGGATTGCAGACGTCAAAAAAAAAGGAAAAAAGAGGGTTTTTTTGTTGGAATAAAACATTCAAGTTGACAATTTATTAATAGGAAAAAATAAAATATGTTAAAGAGCACGTGAAGCTCAACTTTAACCTTAACCGAACTCAACCCATCAAAGTTCAACAGCAGGTTTTGTTTAAATCTGTTGGGATAGGTACAGTACCCCTAAACAGATGGTCTTTTACATTGAGTTTGGCATACCTCCAGAAACCAGGTTCAACAGTGTGTGTGTACAATTTCCCATGTGGGTGTTGGAATTTACCTGAATGGGTACGGTACCTTGTAAATTAGGCTGGGGAGTTAGGGTTAATGTCCCAACAAAGTTTTTAAAAAATATACATGCCACTGGTTTACTTCGTGAAGTAGATTTTGGGGGAAGCTACCTTGCTAAAATGTCTAGGGGAATGTGATAGGGATAATCGTGCAATTTCTTCTTCCCAACCAGTTGAATTTACATGATATAAAAACTATAAGCAAACCAGCACATAACTGAAGTTTCATTTCTGTAAAAAAAAATTCTTTGTACACTTTCCCTCTAACTAAATCTAACCACTTCACTAAAAATATCCCACACAGGGGTGAGATTGGGAGAAAATGAAAAATCCACGAGGTAATTGACATCAGGGTTGGAGGGTCGCCGAGGGACTAGAGCAACATAGGGTCTTTGGTACATGTTTGTATTTGTCTAAAGGCAAACCTCAAAGTACCTTTATATACGTTTACATGTGATAAAAAAAAAACCTTTAGGCCAAAAAAAAAAAGTCTCCGGTTTCTGGTATGGAGCTTGCCCAAAAAGTGGTGCGGCGACGCGGCTTTTTTTTTTTTTTTTGCTTCAAATGTCGGCTGATGACTGCAAATGGTGCCCGACTAAACTTAGTGCAAATTATATGGGAGTCCAGAGAGGCCACATAAAACTTATTCTCGACCATAACCCAATCTAAAAACACGTTAAAATTGTGCAGCAGCAGGATTCCAGTCAGACCAGTGAGTTTGGCGGTTTTCAGATATCATCTTTCATTGAAAAAAAAAGTTTTTCATTTTGCCGACGCGCATGGCTACGGCGACGCGCATGCATACCAGAAACCGGAGACTTTTTTTTTTGGCCTTATGGTGAAACCTCATGAATTCCAGATTTAATAGGGATTCTTAAAATAATCATGAAATCCGGAAAAATCCTGAAGAAAAATCCTGAAATCCCAAAATATCCTGACAAAAATTATATATCCTGTAACCCATGCAAACATTACAAGTAAAGGCGCATTGAATATTATATAGTACAGTTCTTAATATTTACTTATTTATATTACATTTTCAATTTCTCCTTACCTCTGACCGAGCCAGCGCTTCGACTCTTGCGTAGATGTTTGACGCTTCCGTTGGCAGTGGTCCCGTCGGCGTTGGTCAGGATGACCGGGTGGGCCATCTTGGCGTAAGGCGCCAGCCAATCAAACTGGGCCAGGTGCATCTTGGGAATGAGTCCTCGGATCTCCAGCAGGAGGTCCAGCTTGGCCGGAGTGTCTAAGATGTCCCTGAGATACGTCATGAGCCTCCTCACGTCCCTGAGGAGGAGGGAGGTGGGAGGAGCAATCAATATAAACACAGTGTGCAGGGTTCCCAGTATTTTATGAAAACATAATTCCCTGAGTTTTCCCCTGATATTTCCCCCGACTAATTTCCAAAATTCCATGAGAAATATTTTCATTTTAACAAGGTTGCTGGGAAGTCAAGAGGTGGTTGCAGCAAAGCAACTAATATATTGATAATGTAGGCAAGTTGTCGACAAGCGATGGCCTCCCTTCTCCCCTTATAGCCATCCTTTCCTCATCATATGCAACTGAGACACACATACGCCACACTGGCAAAAACCTTTCCCTTCTGGGTAACTGTCAAATTCCCTGAGTTTGCCTTGATTTGTTAGTGTTTCATGAGTTTTCCCTGGAAAAATGGAAACTCATTTTCGAGGTTTCCCTGATTTTTTTAGTGCATGGTTGGGAACCCTGCAGTGTTAAGTCATTTTTCCAGAGTCCCTTGATGTACCAGTGCTATAACGTCAGGCAGTTACGTACGGTAGATATCAAGCAAATAAAGCACAAAGGCTATATTGACATTAACTTTGAATGAATATGAATTTAAGAGCTTTTGGCACAGCTTTAAGAATGTGAGCAATGCAGTGTTGCAATCGAGTCCACAACAAAGTGATCAAAAATCGTTCACAGTCAAGACACAAGATATTGAAATGAATCATGACAAAGAAAGGCATTAGGCCAAGTAACAAAAAAAGTTTCTTGTCTGGATTTTTTTTTATAAGGGAGGCGGCAGTCCTTTTTTTCCCTCCAGAATTTCTAAGATAGATTCTTCCACTTTCTCAACTGATACGTTTACTAATACTTTTACTGATACTTTTGTGTTCAAAGGAGCTGTCACCCTTTCTACCAGATTACGAACTTGGTACATACATGTACAACGTAGATACAATTTTTGCTGGAAACACATAAAAATCCAAAATTTATTGCAACTGTAAGATTTGAAATAAGTAGGGGGAAAAAAAGAAAGTGGACAGGGACGAGAATTTTTTATTTTTATCCTCTGTTACATTTTGTGTGTATTCATGACCGGACTAGTGATGGACTCAATCACAAGACTCGCAGTTTTTTTTCTTTCGGAAATTGTTTTGTCCCACGTTCTTCCTGATCACAAATAATACATTTCTTTCCTATAATTTGATCTGCTCTAGTTTTCTTACTTGTAGGTTTCATACTGCTTGAGTACATCGTGCAGGTAGTCGCGTTCCATGTCGTTCAGCAAGACTTTGGACTTGCGGTGGAACAGCTGTAAGTTCCTTCGATGGTTCTCATTCGTGTCCCGTCCCATGGTGTTTTGCTCTTCTATTCCAGCCTCTGAATCACGATTTTCTCAAAATCATTTTTTTCTTAAAATATCCCAGAATTGTTTTTTGACCACTGTTGTGTCTAACGATATGCCATTTAACCAATCGGTCTGATTTCCATTTCGCTCCTTGGTGTTAAGTCAACTCCAAACACATGTTATTTAAATTTCTCCGAGTCACGTGATCTCCGGTTGGCGGCACCTGATACTTGTCATGTGATGTCTCAGCCACACCTGGTTCATTCATCTAGAAACAATTGCTTGTCCAAACCTGTAAATTCAAACAAAGGAACAGAAAATAATAATGGAATAATTGTTAAAAACTGTTTCAGATGAACATTTACCTGTTTTCTACTTCAAAATCTCTGGAAGTGTGTACGTATTTCCACAGAGAAATGACAGTATTCAAACTTACTACAATTCAGATCCTTAATACTAGCCAAGTGTTCAAACATTTGTCTAATGTCCACCACTGTATGACCACCGTATGACCACTGTATTCATGCCCTGTTAAAACAATGTTTAGACGACGACTGATTACCTCAATGCATGACCACCTTTTTATAATGCTGCATTGTTTTTCTACACCAACAAAGCACAACGGGTCAAATTTCGAGAATCCAGAGGGTCACTGTAAACATACAAGGAACAGATCAACAGCAAAGTTTAACTAAAGAAAGCAGGAAAGTGATACGGGACACCAGACCACCAGGCCCTGTGAATAGTTGCCACTATGAGATTCAAGTTACAGGCCAAGTTTTTTATTTAATCCCAATTAGATGTAATTTCCGTGCTCTTTAACAAATAGTCACTTTTTTCTCTCTTAATTTGATAGTCGAGTGTTTCATTTCGACAAAATACTGCACTTTTTCTATTTTGGGTATTTTCAGACATGTGGAAAAAAATTCGGCTTTCAGGCCATGTCCGAATTGCTTGGCTACAGGCCTATGAAAGTCAGTCATTGCAAAAATGTTAAAAAATAAAAAGACATGAATCTGGGACATTTCCAATTTTGTTAGAAAATACTTTGAAAATGTTCTTGACTCTCCACAGACTTTGTACACAACCAACGAAGTGGCGTCTGGATACTACATTCTTTCCTAGGCTACTTTTGCAGATCTGCCCTGCAAGTAGACTGGTTCCCGCTCCCTACTTTATCAATTAAAAAAAGAGGACAGGAACAAGTCTAGTGTCTACCCAACACGAAATGAAACATTGTTAAAATAATTAAAACGATTATTCCTTAATTAAACACGGGCCTATATTTTCGGTCTGTTTCATTCAAAAAGGAATGTACTAGAAAAGTGCAATTAAAAAACAAATTTTCTAATTTTTGGGAAAGAACGTAGTATCTAGACGCCACTTCAGCGGTTGTGTACAAAGTCTATGGAGAGTCAAGAAAATGCCAGGTATTTCCTAACAAAATTGGAAATGTTTCTCAGTCCCAGATTCATGTATTTTCAACATTTTTTGCAACAACTGACCTTTAATTGAGATGATAGCCTACATGAAGAAAAAAGTGGCATCGGGCTGCAACGTATTCCTTTCCAATTTTTGTTAATAAAACTTAAAACTGGCACAGACAGTCATCTTTAACCCTAATGATCACTTATCAGAGACATTTTAATATAATGACTAAATGTCTGAAAGTGAATAAAAAATTAATGTGTTCATCTCTCATGAATCCTCCAACATTAATGACTATTAAAAAAACCATTTTGTTTTTATATCATATATGTTTTGCACACTTGTTTAAAACATGAAACAGTGTTCATGTTGGTTAAAATCGTTCCTGTTGTACATGTAAAGAGACTGACGAACGATCAACTCTGGAATTTACATTTTTTTTAAATCACGAGAAATGACGTCTCTGGCTTACTTAAGTTACAGTGCCATAGGTTTGTGCATCAATTGCAATCTTCTTGTTCATCTCCATACCCGAGAATGTTGAGACATTTTGAGACTCTTCAATTTTCATTTCAATGTTTATCATTTAAAATTATACAATCTCACAAATTACAATGAAAGCAAGTGTATCATTGATGCACTATGTAAATAACACAATAACAGGTGCAGTAACGATTTTGTGATTGATTGATTCTGGAGGCAATTAAACAAGACCGCTGATTGGCCGACTTCAACACGCGCAATTCAGTTGACCCCAACTTGACCCAGCGATGATTTTTGGACGAGATGACACACGGAGGTTTTCGACGGCGAAAAAAATACTGCATTTCTTACCTCAAAATCATCGATACATAAAATCCGCTGGGATTCAAAGTATCCATGTGGTCGGCTGTACCTGATGTCGAGGGTCTTCCGAGTGGAAGCGATTCCGACGAGGAGAAAGCGGCAAAATTTGAGGACGAAGATTCGCCAGACGACTGCACCACCGACGCTTCGAATGTATCGTGTAGCAACAATGTTATAGCGCCACCAAGAGGTGTGCCTAATCAACACTGGCAGGTAGTGAAACTTGGACTTTGGAAAAAGCAAGAAAATTACATTTTCCAAAAACATATAAATTAGATACGAAATACAGACCCTACCTCAACATTCAGCCTAAATGATCGTCATTCATAACAACTAGGTTGAGAAAACGTGAATGAGACCCAAATTATTTTTCATTTTTAACAATAAAAATAATGTGGTGAAATTAATTGCAGTTGTTATAAACTTTGACATGATTGACAATTTAATTTTTTTAAAGAGAACGCTGTATTCATTGTTATTTCAGACATTCTGTAAACTAAAGAGACGCCGTGAAGAGACGAAACTGTCCCAGACACAAACAAGACCGAAGCGGCAGAGGAAGAAATATGATGTTAGACTCGGAGGTAAAAAAAAACCTGCATTTTAACCGTCTGTTTCCCTCATCTGACAATATTCAACATCGGGATCTTTGGCTCTTGGAACCCGACTATCAACTGAATGGATCTCTGACTTTATTTCACTTTAAAAGAAAATGAATACCATTTGAAAATCGCGTCTGCCGTAACGATAGCCACTATTAGTACAAACCTGATTAGCATATTACGATATAGCTATAGTTGTTATTTAAGTGCTGATCTGTTTTGTACTATAAAATGAAAATAAAATGTTACATCATATTTCAGGCAGGTAGAAACATTGGTATTTTCTTCCTCCATGCTTTATGGAAACATGACTTAGGAATTAGGCCTACTGATTTAATTAATGAGGGAAAAACTTGCTGAAGTGAAGATACAATTATGCCCTGTGAATTGTTCTGCCTGAAATTGTAATCGCTCTGAATTAAACAATCATCGAAGGTGGTATTTAAAAAAAGTATGCCGGTAGGCACACTTTTTTGAATGCATTAGCAACAGATCCAGTTACTAGACCTACAAAATTGTGCATGTTTTTTTTTCTGTTTTCTTATAATTTAGAGCAGCCACTGATATCAACTTCTACAGGTTAGCTTGATATGCACCTAACTTGAGATTTTTAGCAATTTTGTTGCTTCAAACAAAAAGAAATTGCACATTTAGCAAAGGATCCTATATAAAACCTTTAAAGCTAGTCTTCAAGATTTTTTTCTAAAAGTGAAACTGAAAAAGAGAAACAAAATTTTGTAACAAATGTTCTTTGTTACAGCAGTCCAGCCAGTTTTAACATTCTCCTTAAATGGAGTATATTTCATGTCCTCTTTGCTTAATTTTTTTTTCAGACCAGGAAGATGCTTCCTCCACTGAGACCATAGGCCATTCATCTGTGTCTTCCCCAGCATCCCATCTACAGGAGAAAGAAGAGCTGGACGATGAAAATAGAGTTCTGTGCGATGAAAATGGAGTTCTGTCTGAGCCACCAGCCAGCACCGAATCTGCAGGTACAATAATGCTGTTGCCCCCTCTAATTATTTGTAAAACCCTGTACAAAAAATGTAAAAAGAAAATTTGCCAAAATGCTTCTTAAAATTGACTGTTTAAAGATGTTTTTCATTGAGTTCTTGGGCCCTTTTAGACAGTAGTGGTTTTTTTCTTAAGAGGGGGGGGGGGGGGGGGGCGTTGACCAGGTCAAAACCCTCTTGTTTGGATTGTAGCGGGGGCACAACGGGAACTTGGAGTAAAGGGGATCTAAAAGTTAATCAAAAATGTAAAACATTTATAATTTAATAAATCAATTTTCCTTCTTCCTTCTTCCTATTTGACGCATATGGTGATCACATGGCGATCACATGACTACACAGAGAAGTCAAATAGTCTTGAGAGGAAACAAACTTTCATGCTCGAGTCTGGAGTGATTTGGGGGGAGACAGGTTCGAGGCAATTCATCCAATTAAAAATGTTTATGTTCATCCAGTTGCCTAAATTATGTGCTTTGTGAACATAAACATTTTGAATGGTATACCCAAGACAAGCATTCTACAATTTTTAACATTTCATTGACTTCTTTCTATTTGCATTACTTACAAAAGCCGCGGAAAAGGAAAGCACCCCTACACCAGAGCAACAGGAGCATTGGGACACCTTGAAGAAACATCTGAACGTCAATGAACACATCTACCAGGGGATTGACCACGGCCAATACGACCCACATAAGGTACGGCATTGATAAAAGTGGATTGCATCTGTGTGTTGCAACTAAGGTCATCTTAATGATTCTTCAATGGCAAATTACAAAGTACCAAGGAATCAGGGACAGGAAAAATGTCACACTTGGGACCCTAAATTTTTAGAATGACACAACTATGTCACCTCTTCTTTGTAAAAGTTGAGGGGGGGGGCCGGGGGGGGGGAATTGTTCAGGGAATCCATTGTGTCTGTGAAATGAGTTTCTGTGAGTGACATTGTATTGGCGCCTATTTGCAGTAACACCACGATTCAGATAGTCTCTACCAGTTCATGCCGGGATTATTTTGACAAGAACAGAACGAGGCACAGGATTACTTTTCACCCAACCTCAAGCCAGGTGGGTTGAAGCCATCACCCTTGGGCAGCACACTCATATTTCCAGCCTCGCTCCTGCGAGCAGGTTGCCGACAGATATTTCCGGCCTTGCTCCTGCGTGTTTATCCATCATCCGTTTCAAATACCGCAAAACTTTTCAGTGTATACACGGCCTCCAGCGCGAACTGGTTAAGCCATTGAAATATTTATCAAAATTTCCTTATCTCTTCTTTTCACAAGAGTGGTTTAGAAAAGGAACTTGACAAAGCCGTGGAGGAAGGCAACTTTGAAGAAGCGGAGGAACTCAGCAACCAGCTGGCGACGCGAGACCTAGCCTGCAAGATAGCTAAATCAGCGGAAGCAAGGGACTACTTGAAATGGAAAGAGGTCATTAATGCTTGGACGTTCTTTGACTAACGTTAGGAAGTGATTCAAAACTCAGAATGCTTTGAATTTACTACTGGGAATACCACAAGTCTAATCAGGGATGAGCATTGTTCCCTCCAGAAGCCTGGGAACGCCAAAGTCTGATATCACAGAACTGAAAAAAAATTAATTGGCACAAACAAATTTTGATTAGCAGAAATGGGTTACCAGCTAAAATGTCATGTGAATTGAACTGCCTGTGACTTTTGCTTTTGATTTTGCTTATCACACGAATTTGCTGAGCAAGATATTTTTTGCTTATGAGCTCTGTTCTCCGATAGTGAAAAATCGTGCTTACTTTTGGAGGAAATTATGTGCTTACAGTTGAGCATATTTCACTGGTAAGCCAAAAATGTAAGCCAGCACTTGCCCCCCCCCCCCCCAACTTTCAAAACTGTTCTGTTGCCGCTGGCATGTTCCAACTAGAGACTGCATGTTGATATAAGATACAAGTGTGTACGGTGAGCTTATAGCTTTACGGTATAAACTGCAACTTTCGCCAACATCATAAACATGAAAAATCTTTTGTTTTTCCCAAGTAGCCAGGTTTTCACTTTTAAAATTCTCCTCAAATGACATTAAACACCTTTCTTTTTCATCATCTAAGAATTTACTAAGTAATTTGTAAGTTCGTTACGGGTACCCAGTCCCATAAACTGGTACCGATTCCCGACATCAGCAGTCGGGTACTCGGGTAACCACTTCAGATGCACATGTCCTAATAAGATTGTTACCACAGGCAAAATTACGAAGTGTCTTTATTTTTCAAAACAGGGAGAAGCTGCCAGGAAGAAAGCCAAGAGGAAAAAGAAGAAGCTGAACTGGGGCTTTGAGGCAAAGGAGAGATGGCAAATGAAAGGCAACATGTGACAGCCCCGACACAGAGTGTAGATCAAATCACATGCAACGTCAGGCCTGTCGGTTGCCAACAGATAAAAATGTGACCAGCTCCACCAAAAAGGGTATTAAGTCGCGCTGAGCATTATTGTGTAATGGCCCACTCAACATTGAGAGGGTGAACATTTGGTCAAAATGTGTTTTTCATTTTTTTATCATGAATGACATCTTTAAACCTACAGTTTCAGGTTACATTCACAGAAATGTTGATTTTGATGAACAAAGTGGAAAAAAATAACCATTTTGTGTGCAACGTTCTGTTGTTCTGCAACAAATCCAGCTATTTCAAAGGCCGTTTTCTCAGATGAGATTTGAAGGTTGGGGTTTTCTCAGTTGTGTAATTTGAACTCCAAGGAAGTAATTAATATGCAAATACATCATATCTCCAGAACTGGAGGGACTATGGAGCTCTAGTATATACCAAATGAAAGCTTACATTGTGGGCTTTCCAACCATGTATATAACTCAATTTCTCTTTTTTGCGACATAATACCCTTTTTTGAGGAGCCGGTCACAAATGAGCGTGCAAATTGACCTAAAATAACAAATAAATGAATGTCTCGGAGTGAAATGGAAAGAATAATTTCATGAGGTGACAGATGGAGTGTTCCATTCCATGAGGCGAATTTCACTATGTGAAATTATTCTGTCCATTGCACGAATGTGAAACATTCATTGTTTGTTTCATACAACACCTGAATGTAAATCCTCGTCATCTGATTGGTCAGAGACACCAATAGTGTGCAATTGGGATGAATAATTCAGTGGCATGTGATCAACGACCCACCAATCAGATGACAGGGATTTATTCAGGCTTTGTGTGATTCCCAATATTAAATGGCTTCATATGAATACAACATCCAAGTTTGCAACTAAAGATATCAACACACGCTGAAAATGATTTTAATGTGTATTTATTTCCTCACAAAAACATTTTGTGGACGTTTTTGGAAATCCGTGGAGGAAGAATTACATTTTTGTTACCATAGGAAAGAGACAAAATAATACTTCACAGGAAACAAATATTGAAATATCATCAAGCTACCAAATTTCCCTTTTACCAAAAAAAATGTACCAATGTATTAAAAAATAAAATCTATACATAAAAAATAATCTAACACATTTCAGCTACGTGAATTATCCTCGCTGATTAGATGTACGCATTATAAATTATACAAAATATTCTGTCATGTAGAATATTCTAAATGATGACACATTAGGATTTACGGAAAGAATGTAGTATCCAGACGCCACTTCAGTGGTTGTGTACAAAGTCTATGGAGAGTCAAGAACATTTCCTAAGTATTTCCTAACAAAATTGGAAATATTTCTCAGTCCCAGACTCATGTCTTTTCAACATTTTTGCAATGACTGAACTTTATCAAGATGAAAAACGAAGAAAAAAAGTGGCGTCAGGTTGCAACATTCTTTCCGAATTTACCTTCTTTTAAAGAGAAGGTGCACCTTCAATAACAACATGCCAGCTTCACTGTGTTTTGGTGGGTATGTGCATGATAGCATGAATGCATGATCCATTCAAATATTAAAATGTATGTGTGGTTATTTATTGATTTTTTTTTTAGGGGGGGGGGGATTTTCAACTAAATTTGCGTTACATGTCAACCACGTACACCAAGCTTATATTTTATATAATATACACTGTGTTATCCTAGACAACAGATTAAAGATTTGCTCGTCGGCAAAATAGACTAAAATAAACAATGCCCATATTTTGGCGATGGTTAACGTTTTTAGACTCTTTTAAGTCTTGATAATGCCTTCAAAAACCGTATGTGTCATTTCATACCATTTCATAACCGTATGTGTCATTCATTTTTATTTTAACCCTAACCGAACTCAACCCATCAAAGTTCAACAGCAGTTTTTTTTTTTAAATCTGTTGGGATAGGTACAGTACCCCTAAACTGATGGTCTTTTACACTGGGGTTGGCATACCTCCAGACACTAAGTCCAACAGTGCGTGTGTACAATTTCCCATGTGGGTGTTGGAATTTGCCAGAACGGGTATGGTTCCTAGTAAATTAGGCTGGGAAGTTAGAGTTAATGGAGCCGTTATTTTAATTTCAGAGGCCAAGCTTGTGATATATATATTTTTGTAAAAAGCCACATTCCATTCAAAATGGATGAAATTAAAGTTGGAGCTAACTTATTAAACTGAGGCATTCGCATTTTTGTCATTTCTTTGTGTTTTCCAATAAATCACAAAGGGAAACTGACTAGGTGCATAATATAATTGTAAAGTTGAAGCTGCGAACTCCGGATTGCCGTTCCGGTGCTCTACCAACCGAGCAATCAAGCCCTATGTTGGCGTGGCCCGTTTTAATCAATGTCTTTGTTCTAGGGGCGCTATTCAGAAGCCATAAACTTGTGTATGCCATTAAGCCAGGGATCACGCCCAAAGTCACGATACTAGCAACATTAGAAATGCTGGAAACCTCGGAAATAGCAAACGGGGATCACTCGGAGAGAGTACAGCTCTACAATTTTACAATTAATTTTTTTCAATTATTCTTTACAACTCTACAATTATTCTTTGTGCTTGAACAATTTGGATCCCTTGGTTTTATAGGCCGGCCAACGGCAATTGGGACAACAGTGATTGGGATTGGTGGTGAGCCACGCCACGATACAGCGCTGGTGGAAAGCGTGGCCGCAGGGCAAACCACAAAGCTCAACACCATGCACGTACGGCTCCAGACAAACTGAGCATTCGAGACTTTCCATCATGGCCTCGGGCCAGGGGTCATAGGTCGATTTGACATCAGGGACGGGATCGACAGTCGCCTGGATATCAAATCCGCAGTCGCACGTCAGGTTCAGTCCGCTGTGTTTGTCACTTTCGACCGAATCATTCGCAATATGGGATTTATTTTCAGGGTTGGATTTGACAAACTGGTCAGATTCGGAATTTGGCAGCACAGGTTCAGTCCCACTGTCCGTACTACAGGCACCCATGCAGGTGCTGCCGATATTTTCAGGAGACGTGGGAGGGTCTGAGCATTCTTTGGGGGCCATCTCTTGAGGAGATTCTTTGCTGGAACTGGTGACCAGGAAAGGCTCACCTTTCTTTGGATCGCCAACAAACTTACTGAGGCATTTCCTACACGGGTGCTTCTTGCCCCTCTTTCCGTACTTCCCGCCCGTTTTATTCTCGTCCAGTTTCTTGTCTTGGTCTTGGAAGTATTCCTGCAAGAGCCGGCAGTTTTCCTCGTGGGGCTTTTCCGTGTCGGAAAAGCATCTGCGCCAGTATGCGCAGCACTTCTCAGCTGACGACCACTCTCTCGCCATTTTTTGCTGGCGGTAGCGCCACGTCGGTAGATCTCGGAGGTAATCCTGTGAGGCGTTGGCCAGCAGGAACAGGTTGGGAAACATGGCCTGGTTGATGATACGGTCCCAGTTCACACCTTCTTCAAGCCGGGCGTTGCTCATCAGCACAGGGGAGAAGCCAGGGCTAGGCCGCACCAACATGTTGTAGTAATAAACCGCAGTGCTCTGCAGCCACTCGCTACTCGATGACGATTCTTCTGTGTCGTCGCTGCTGTGACAGCGGCTTCGTATGTAGCCAACTGCGGCGCAGAACGCAAAAAACGATGCAACGATCAGACCACCCCGGTGGCTGTGCATGATCCAGAGACACCTGAGCTGCGAAGCTAGAGTGGTCTGACTGGACAATCGTAGCAGCTTCTGGCAAAACTGAAACACTGGGTCCAAAAAGGGTATCTGAATCAGTGCCAACAGCGGAAGCCACATCATTATCAGGACGGCGTTGTACTTCACCCAGACCCAGAGAAAATGGCACATCCGTTTGGCTAGCACCTCCCCCTGGTTCATGGCAAGCTCGAGCACGCACAGCATGTTGCCGATCACGAAGGAAAGCATGAAGAAATCATTGGCTTGGGGGTAGAGAGTTCCGAGAAACGCGTCCATGGCGCGGTGGTTTAAATACTCGCCGTCGCGCATCCCGTATGGGATTATCCCCTCTGGAGTAGTCACCAGATAGTGGGAAGATTCCGATCTGATGTTCAGCTCCTCCGACAACCAGTTGCGTGTGCTTTTGTGGATGGCGGCCTGCCCAAATTTGACCCGTCCGGAATACTTCAAGCTGATCGCGGAGAAAAACAGGGGTGCCTCCACTTCTTCCTCTTCCGACAGGAGAACAAGCCGAATAGGGGACTTTGCCGTTTGGGTCCGAGATGCGTCGAGCCACTCTTTGACCAGTCTGCCATCGTCCACCCGATGGACTGTGTTAGCCAGTCTAGTGGCGACCCATTTGACGACCTTGGGAGCCTTGAGGTTGGTGGATGGGTAGGTTGCCATGACAACTTTGTCCTTCTGGTTCAACCCCTGCGGCATGGCCAGCATGAGTATTGGCTGGGTCCATCCTTTCTTCCGGCAAAATCTGTTCCAAAAATAAGAAGTTAAAAATGAAAAGATGTTCACAGACCTTAACACTAGGAACAGGCATTATGTGATTTTCTATTGAGAGTAGACAGAGTTGTCTAAAGATTTGAATTTGCAAGAAATGAAGATTTATTTTGAAAATGCGATATATCCATTTGAAAAAAAGTGAAAAAGTTGCACGGTTATGAAAACTTTAACATACATAGTATAACAGTTGTTTCTAAACTGCATTTTTGACTAAAGTCTATTCTTTACTTTGTTTTACTGTATAACAGCCGTCCTAAATAAAGTAAACGTTTGAACAATTCTTTTTCCAGAAACTTTTTCCCGCAATCGGGTAGTACAGACACATAAACTGGACAGATACAAACATATGGACTGATCAAACTTGCATACCTAGCGTCATGAGCACAGTCAAATGTTCCAGTCCGAATTCCAACGTGAAATACTTTTCTCACAACCGTCTTCCAGGTTTCCCGATCCAGTAAAGGCACGTGACCTCTTGGGACGATCTAAATTCACGAGGGATAACAATGATAAGTAGCAAGTAAGTAAGTACACAGTTTAAGGCCATCTCTTGCCATGCTTCAAGCATAATACTTTAATCATTTCATAAATTTCAATAAATTGCACAATAATAGCCATGTGCGAATGCCTCTGGTTGAATGATGGTCAAAACGTCATCCCTGAACTTCTTGGTCGTGGCTGCGTATTTTTTTTTCTGCAGCATACATCGTACTTAACCAATCACATCACAAACCCTAACATGAATATTTATCACGCTGTGTGGATGGAAGACACTTAGATTCTCGTCGTGTTTTCCCTTCAATTAAACTCATCCCAACTAACAAAAATATTTGATGAAAATGGACACGGGTATCGGGTCCGAACCACAGATCTTGTGATCTATAGTTCATTCCACCATCCACTAGGCCACTGTGGCAGCTCGACGTAAGTCGTTCTTTGAAATGCTTTAATGTACATGCATGACTGAATGATAGCAATGGTGGGACGTCATTGTTATTGTCTTATGAATAAACATTGAACTAGCTGAATAATCATGATGCATTGACGATGTGTGCAGCAAATAAAAACGCCGGGTCCTGGCTCCCCATTGTGCTATAATGCATGTGGCTATTGGTCGCCAGTGATGCAACTGTGCCCTGTGGCCCGGTTCCCAATAGTCGACTACAGTGGTCCAACCAACCCTCGTTCGAGCCAAGTTAAGTCATGGCCAAACTTGTTCAAACACGATATTATTTTATTACTGTTCATAACTTCATACCCAGAAATGTTGCAGCAACATCATTTGTGACCTGTTCTGTCAAAAACAGACGCTTCTGGGCAGGGGTTGAAATTGAGATAGAACCAAAAAATGCTGTGGGGTGATTTTTTTACGATTTTCTGATTTTTTGCAAATTTGTAATCCTGAACATGTCTAAAATATACTATAAAAGTTTGAAACCCTAATTTGAAAGTAAGTATAGTATTTTTGATGATTTGTTGCGGTATATCAGTTAAAGAAATTTCTGTTTTGTGACGTCCGTGGCCATTTTCTCCGTTTTCTACTTTTCGACACAATGAACTACAAAATAGCATAACTTTGCCCAGGAATTACAGGTTTAAAAAAATCAAACCACCTATTAAGAGGAAAATGTACATATTTTAACAATATGCAAAAATCTCATTTTCGACCTTATGCCCAGAAAAGTCTGATTTTGACAGAACAGGTCTCATTTGCTCATGATTATGGCCGAGTTATACTCCTGTTTCTTTACGTACCTGAATCAGCCAGATGCTGTCCTTCTTGTCTTCGACCTCCTCATAGAAGTGGGGACCGCTGCTGAAGTTGGTACTCTGCTCAGCTTCCTCTTGGCTCTCCCGCTCCAATAGGAGGAGCTCCCCCTCCATGACATCACCTGAACCAAAAGCGAGAATAAGGCTGCATCCGAAACAACTGTCTAGAGCTAGGTCTAGGTCTACGCCCATTGAAAACACGCGGGGACGTGCTGACAATAGACGTAGCCGTAGCTCTGGAAGCCCGTTTCGGACACGGCCTAATTCTCAAAAACATTGAAACATTTTTTTGCTTTCTATATTCATTTTCTGTGTCCAGCTTACAAAAATAGAACTCCCTCAAGAAACAAATCAAACTTCTCCAGTTCTGTGTGGGTGTGTTCATCTATTCAAACCATGGACGAAAATTCCAGAGAACAAAAGAGAACAATATCGTCCACGATTCCCAGCATACATCCGCGATTGGGGTCGTGTACAAAACCTATGGGAGTCTTCCTAAAAAGTTAGGGGTACAAACAAAAGAGGGACAATAGGACGTCCACGATCGACGGTGTGAGACAGCAAGAACTTATTTGAAATACTCAACGCTTGCCATGCCATTGTGACAGGGTGTCAGCAAACCTTTCATCATGTTTTAATCCCCCCGAATCAAATGTCACCCTAACCCACCTGATGCCTCTATGAGTGCTGTCAGTTCCTGCTTCTCCACTACCCCGTCATAGCTGATGCCCCGCCCATCCAGCAAAACCTTCAGCTTGCGCACGCTCAGCGAGAACGGGTCTACAAGCTGCGAGATCACCAGACCCGTCTCGTACCAGGCCACTCCCTCCAGCACCCGCAGGACCAGGAAGAGCAAGACCAGGAACAGCAGGAGAAGTAACAGTTTCAGCACCAGCGCCTTCATGCTTGTTGGTCATCAGCTGTTCCCTTGCCAAGGGATGTGATGCCTACGGCCAACGATCTAGCACATACAGAGATATAACTTGACGACATCTCAACAAAGAACTTAATTTTAAGGTCTTTGCTGAGATCATTGTGTGTAAAATGTAAGGTTGACAAAAAAATTGCAGTATCCCATAGCCACTTTTTTTGATAAAACCTGATTTATTAACACTTTGTTAATATTTGTTTTAAATGTACATACACGTGTACTTATCTGACTTGTGTCATAATTTCCCAGCATAATTGCAGAATACCCCATCACTCACCTATCCCACATCGTAGCCGGCTACGCGGATACAGGGTCGGACACGCTTGACTGCTCACCCACAATATGCGTGCACTACCCACTACATTTCCCCGTATCCGCCTAGCCACTCCAGGGGAGCTAACTTTGGACTTGAGTCTTTTTTCCGATCTGCCCTATTCAATTAATGTTGTATGTATTGATTCATCCCCTTGGAGTATCTTTTGAAAAGGGAAATAGCGCCTATTTCGCATAGAATGCAGGGCTATAGAATGCAGGGCCACTCCACTCTACATCCATGCCTCCGCATGAATGCGTGGAGGCGTGGAGCCGCAGTCGACCAATACTACATACACAAAAGCCATATTAACACGATAACAAAATAAAGATGGCAATGACCGTGCGATGTACCGTGAACGCGCAAGGTGCGCTGAATCACACGGCACCAACCGTAAACCACGTAGGAAAATTGTAACTTTTACCCCAAGAAACTGTTCAAAAATTACAAAAAAGGTGTCATATTGAGAGAAATCTGCTTTAGGTTGGAAAGGTCATTTTTGAGTAATAAAAAACTCCCTTGACTCTACTTTGATCGAAATTAAACAAGGGGCCCTATGGACTACTGCGTAGCCATTGAATTTTAGGGGGTGATCTTCGAGTGGCGGAGTATTCTGCAATTACTCCAATTTCCATAACAATTTAACAAAGACTTTGTAAAGTGTACAAGGCCAATAACTCCAGCTTCAGGCACTCAGTACAGTATTAATAATATTGTTATAAACTATTTTAATGTCATTGTCAACCGAACCCAATCTACTTCTAGAATTAGAAGGCTTCTCTCCATCAGCTGACGGAGAGAAGCCTTCTAATTCTAGAAGTAAACCCAATCAATCCCGGTTGGAGTCACTGAAGTTTGATTCATGTTAAAAATAAAATTATGACAACGGTCCAGACATGCCAGATCTAGATACCTCCAAAACCACAAAGTCTGAACTACTGTCACTCGCTAGATCTCAATCAAAGAAGCTGCATTTTTCCACCACAAAGATTCCAACTTCGTGGCAGCTGACGCAACCTTCCTTGACAGAAGAGAAAACTTCCCCGGGCCGGGCCTATTCCACTTCCAACACACAGCAGCAAGATGGCGGGAACCGATGAAAACATTCATTTGCATACATGGTACGTGGACTTTAAAGTAGCCTGGTGCTGACACATTTTCACATTGATCTCCATATACACAGACTGGATAGGACATCGCGCTGTGTTTGTGTACGAATGCGCGGCCGAACAATGGCGGCGTGTTTACTGTCAGACGGGTGTACGCGCATTGTGCTTTTACTTTGTTTACTTTGGAAAATGTATTATCGAGTGTAATTTTTCTTACAGGAGGGATCGAGTTCAAGCGCTCCTCCAAAACAAATCTTTAAAAAAAACTAACTGAACGATGAAGAAATCTAAAAATTAATGTGGCCTGACGTTGCGAACTTAGCAAGTTCTTCTTCAGAGGCTGTTTTAGCCTCTGAAGAAGTACTTGCTAAGTTCGCAACGTCAGGCCACATTAATTTTTAGATTTATATATTTCAGGTCCATCCAGTCAGTAACCAGTTTGCAGCAGTCTTACTTTTTTCATGAACGATGAAGAGTTACACTCAATCCCTCCAAACAGCTTGTCCACACTTTCTTGATATACACTTTCTTATTATGCATTTTCGAAATTCAAGAACCCCCCATTTCCTTTTCCTTTTTTTTTTTTTTTTTAAATCCCTCCTCCTCCCAAAAATGATTGTAAGTAAGTTGCCAATTTATTTTTGGCACATTGGTCATTATAGCACACTGAATTACTCCATCAATGAAATGAATATTTTATTAATAATATGCAGAAATAACATATTTTTTTAACTGAACACTCACACGAGAAATTGTATGGAGATTCATTCAAATGATTGATATATTTATTAAAAACCCGAACATATTAACCAATTAGAATCTAAAAGGTAAGAAAAAACCTTAATTTTACAGAGTAATCAGTAAAAACTTCTTCCCGTCCCTAAATTGATCATTGTGTGAAAGATGAATCACAAACCAAAATTCTATATTTGTCAAAGAATAATTCAAGCTACGCACGGTCTTGTTTTATAATTAAATGTTTAGCTATACTTCTGAAAATAAATATAATTACTTGTAAGTGTAATGGGAATCGTTTTTGTAAGCGAATATGACAGTGTATTAATGGCTATAGCTAATAATCTTATATAAAGGCGCACACAATATAATTTCAAACTGTAAAAGTACTCATTGCTTTCTTCACCTTACAAACTGTCAATAATGTGTCAGTCATCTTGGGAGCTCTAAAAAATACTTGCGATGAACTCCACAGCTTCTTTCAAAAAGAAAATCAATAAATGTTAACAGTTCCACATCGTAAAAATTGATTAAGTCAAACTCTCAGATGCCTATCACATCGCATGTTCCATTCAGTGGATGATACAGTTGATTCCATCCCTCCGTGAAGTTCTCCATTTTCGTCCGTCTCGGATATCGCCCTGCAGCTGGTGGTTTTTGCTATGGCTTTGCTGAAGCTCTTTGTTTGATATGAAGGTCAATCTGCCGGTTGTGCAGTAATTTAGCATAAACCATCTCCTCGGTTTCTCTTTATAAAGAAAAAGAATAGAAACATTTCGGTAGGCGTTTAAGGCAGACATAATTCAATCAGAATTTGCATATAAAAGTTATAAAAGTTATTCGAATAAACTATTTTAAACAAGTCAACTTTTGTTCATTGCATTGCCGGGTCAGTCATGCACGTTTAGGCCTATGTCTTTTAAAGAAAAATGATGCCGACCAGCATGACAGGCCTAGATCGCATTTGAACAGAATATCTCGCTATAACTACCACACAGGCCTCCATCCCCTCAAACTCACAGCGACATTAACGATATTATAAGTTCCCATGTTCATATTCCTCCATGCCATGTAGTATAGGCCTCGTTAAAAAAACAACTTACTTGCGAATAATTGTCCTATACTTCAACGCTCCTTACTTCCCGACTCCAGCAATCTAATGCTGCGCACATCTTGACTATACTCCTCGTCGATTTTGATCAATTTAGATCTCTGTTTCTTTTATTCTTTCAAAAATGACAAAGAAACCGAAAAAAACCCAACTTCATTTTTTAATCCTCCGTTCGAAAGTGTACACAACTCGAATGCGAAATCGTGTTCTTTACCCTTTTCAAAAAACGCGCGCGCGGACGCACGTTCGTACGCGATGTCCTATCCAGTCTGTGTATATGGAGATCAATGCATTTTCACCACGCTTACGCGATATAACGAACAGGGTACCATACAGCTAAACAGTGCTAGTCTTGCAAACCAGTCGTTTGCATCCTTGACCAAGATATCTCCAAATATAGAGTTGCTAGTGAGCTTTTAGAAAAACTTAATGCGAAGAATGCATCAGAAGAAAAAAGAACCTAAAAAATCTATTTTCCTTCTTAATCTATCATTTCTATTCTGAGAACTTTTGAAGCAGAATTTCTTTCAGGAATACGCAAGAATATTCTTTTAGTCTTTTCTTTCAATTTAATCTTTTGATCGTAATAATTTTCTACAAAGAGGTAACACAAATGCAATTCTGAACAAAAATGCCATCTTAATTTTCATTCAGAGATTTCAACACAGCATGATATTAATATACTTGCCCCTCTGACTTGGAGAGAAAACAGAGTTAAAAAATAAGAGTCTGGTTTCAAACTTATGGCTTCAAAATACAGTTCTCTTAATGTTTTTATTTCAAAAGGAATGATTTCAATTTTAAACTGAATTTAATCTAAATTCAGGGAGTAACGGTTCTGTGATGATATCGGCCAATCATAGCATGATTTTACACAATCAATTTTCCAAAAATAAATAATGATCAATAATTATTATAAAGAAAATAATTTTTTTAACAGTAACAAACCATCTTTTGAAATATAAACTGCACTCTTGGAAAGTTTACGATATTACGTGAAACACAAATTATATTCTCTGAGTACCATTACACTATACACTGTCACATGATGACAAATTGAGGTAAAGTGAATTGCTTATGGACAACACAATCAGCACTGCTAGGGAATTCTTGCTATTGTAGATCAAAAGGAGTTGTTACAATTTTTGAAGGAGTTGTAAACTCAATTGATACGTCTTCCAGGGAAACTCAATATGCCATAGAAGTGTGACGTCACGCAGGGTTGTCTCTAATAGTGATGTGTCCAACAATGTCTTGTCCGCCATTTTTAGGATGGAATCTACATGGACGATTTAGGTGAACATTTTATGATTGAAATTTCACAGACATTTAGAATAAATAAGACCAGAAAATGCAACAGTGCTTCGTAGCTGACTGGAGTTATTGCTCAAAACGAGACGGATTCCTTTATTGGTCTTTTCTAACGGATGAAAAATTGATGGAAAAGTAGGCATCGTGCGTATCGCTACGTAAGGCCGGGTTTGTGTAGACACCAGTGTTGTAGTCGAGACCGGATAGTCCGAGACCGAGACCAAGACCGAGACCTGAAGATTCGAGACGGAGACGGAGACCGAGACCAGCCCCTTCAAGGCGGACCGAGACCGAGACCAATATGGTCCGAGACCGAGACCGAGACCGCTGATAATAAATAACATTAGTCGAAATAAAAAAAAAACAAGACACGTTATTATAGTTGAAAAATGTAACCTTTCTATTCACAAAGAATACAGACCAAAATTTTGACCAGTGGCAGTGTTGACAAATTGATACATGACACCTTACTTGAGCAAAAAGTAGTTACACTTAAAGGGAATATACATCATTTGCTTTTGCTGTAATTTTCAGAAATGGATGGAACTGGGGGGTTGGAAATATATAGCAAATATAGTTACACTGACTTTTTTGAGGTTTTGGGTTCGAAAATGCTATAAAAACCAAGAAAAACAATCATTTTCCTGTAGTCTGGTTCCCTGACTCCATATAAGAAGAAACAGAGCAGTTTACATACATTGGGGAATTGTAAGGTCAGGGAACCGGTCTAGCTGGCTCGTACCCGTTCATAGGTTTGTAATCGATTGCAAACAAGTGCGATTGTCAATTGGGGCCAGTATTTGAAAAAAAAGCCAGTTTTTTCCAACGCTGATCGGCCGATCAGCGTTGGAAATTGATACAAAAATACCACTTTTCTTGAAAATGACAGTATACCAGGTGCCATGATTTTACAGGATGCTTTACACTGTCATTCACTAACAGTCCAGCAAGGTATTTAAAAATGATTTGGTAGTTTTATTTTTTGATGTTTGCAAATGTTGTATTTTCCCTTTAAGAAATATGGGCTTTGACATGTTGTCTACACCCAATCGTGACAAAAGTAAAAAGTTAAAGGCAGATGCTTCTTTTTCTGTTATAGGAACTCGGATCCTAAACTCCACAGTCACCCCCTTGGTTTCAGCTATGACTTCTAACGGATATTTAAAGATGCAAGTTAATTTTACATTGCCTCTTTTTTCCTAAAATAAATTTAGGACTTAACTTCTAACAAGACTTGTGTACTTGATTTTAAAAAATGGGAGCTAGAAAATGTTGAATTAATTTTTAAATTTGTGTCATAGAATGTGGACTTGTACATGTAGACCCACAAGTTGCGAGGTGGTAGCTAGAATGTGCCAGATATGGATTTTTAATTTTTTTCTGAACGGGACTTTTAATTTTTGAGGAATAATGGGTTACTTTAAAATGAGCAGCCAGAAAATTGGGTCTCATCAAACACTCTCATGGCAACAGTGAGTGGTAACTGGTAAGAGTGTGTGAGCTCAAAGTTGGTAAATCAGGTAGAAAAATTTACTTTTTCTTCAAAATACTGTCCCAAATTAAAGAGAACATTGTGTGGGGTCGAAAATATAACTAATTTGAAGCACCTCATTTATTATCAGAATACAAAATGCAAGTGATTACGCCCACAGGGGTGGGCTAACCTACACAATCCCCGAAAATGGTTGACCCTTATTGCATAAATTGTTACAAGTTTATACTTTGCTTTATGTGGCCGACTCAACAGATAAATGCCGAACTTGTTCCAAATCGTTCAGTGACTGGTACTGCTACAGCTTTACATGTACTTTGGGGACTTTCCAACGTGCAGTCGAGTCCAAACAGACCGCGATATATAACAAGCTTGATCTACGGGCTAGCAAATGTTTTAAATAACAACGGTACTGAACGAAGTGAACACAAAGTAATCGATCGAGCTGTAAAAGCTACATATTGCCGGTCTCGACCCGAGACCAGCCAAAATATCGAGACCAAAGGGGACCGAGACCGAGACCAAGACCGAGACCACAGCTTCCGAGACCGAGACCGAGAGAGAGACCAGCAAAAAGTGGTCTCGAGACCGGTCTCGAGACCGAGACCGGTCTCGAGACCTACAACACTGGTAGACACACCATCCCGGGTAACGCGTGACTTCGGCGGCGTGTGACGTAACCATGCACTTCTTCGGCGTATTACAAAAATGCAACAATGTATAGGAAACTCTTTTCAAACGATTTTTATCAGTACAGTTCTACTGAAAAATTGATGTTGTTGAAGGCCAAGAGAAACAATACCAATTTACACGACATTAGTAAGAAGGTTTAAATTGAACTAAATCCATTACTTTTTGTCAATTGGCTCCAGTAATTGTGACTGCAATGATATATTATTATAAATGAATTTAATTAGCCCTTTTTGGCAGACGCAAAAAGGATGATATTTGGTTTGGGTAAAATTGCGTAAACACACAAGATTTTTGAATTCCTACTGTGTTCCCTGTATCTCAAAAAAAGGACAATGTTGAACCAGGAACCTATTAAGGCCAAAAAAAATAAACTGCTGCTTCCGATTACATGGCATTTGAAAATAGGGTGGGTAGGTAAGGAAATTTTGGGTTTTTTTTGGCAATTTTGTTGTGTGCGATCATATGGAGGTGTCTGCGTGTAGTCATTCTTCCCAAAAATAAATTTGGGTAGGGGCTGTCAAAATAGGGTAGGTAGGGTAACCAGAAGCACAACTATTAGTTTGTTTGGCCGAAACACTTGTCTCAGCATGATTGACTGATTTCAAACTTTAGAGTTCTTTCCAAACGTCCGGGGACCGTCACTGAATAAAACACTTTCCACTCTGCGAACACACCTGGAGATGAATTTCCGCTTTGTGTCCGTCTCCCACATCTGACTGCACAAGTCCAAGAGCCAGGCCATGGACCTGTGAAAGTAATCCAGCTGGTGTTCCGGTTTCATGAAATAAACGGACTGGGAACACGTTGGGTAAGTCACATAGGGTGTGTTCTGGCTGCCTAGGCCTGTTTCTCTGAGAAGCTCACTGGTTTCACTACACCTGTCTTCCCCGGAGGGCACGATCAATCCATCTTCACTGTCCTCTGTAGTTGTGTCACCGTTGTCACAGCTGTGCTTTCCGTTTTCACGAGCACTTTCTTTGCCTGTTCTTGAACTCTCTGAGGAACTTTTTACTTTTGTGCTCTCTGATTTTTTCGCCCGAGGCTCAGTGGAGTCTCTGCTCCGTGACCGAAACTCCTCCGTGGCCTGGTCTAGCGCCTTGAAGACGTCTGTCGGCGGGATGATGTGCTGCTCGCAAAGCTCCCGCAGATTAGTCAGATGCTTCAGGGTGTGGCTCGAGAAGTCCTCGTGGAGCAGGTAGTCCCGTGAAACCCACTTCAAGCCGGTGGCCGGTTTGGGGTGATCCTCATCATTTCCTGAAGGGGAACTGCAGTCAAGATGGTCCGATTGGGCCGACTTTGGTGTCGGTCGGGCAGTAGCAAAGCTGCTAGGAGCTGGGCAAGCCTGAGGCGAGGAGTTGGATTCCTTGTTGAGGGAAAGGAATGGGCGCTGATATTCCTTCAACTTTTCTTGACCTGGTAAATATATAGAAAGATTCACATTACAACATAAACAAATTATGAGCGAACTGTGGAAAGTAATTAAAGCTACAGTCCATCATTTGTAATTTGTGCATTTTGTTCGTTTGAAGCAACAAAAGAGTTCAAAATCTAATGAAGGATACTGAGCAACTAACCTGATGAAGTTTCAGCTAAGCTTCAGCTGTACATTCCGAGAAAAACAGCATTCTAAGATCTCAATTTCAAATCCAAAGTTACTGAATCATGTTTTGAATTGTTTTGAATTGCAGCTATACGCGACGTCGCGCACTGATCCGACAAATTATAACAACCGCGCGCGCGTGTGCGTCGTTCCAATACTTGTGCGCGCTGCGCTGAATAACAAAACGAACTACTAATTTAAATTTTCCTACGGTGCTTCTTAAGAATCACCGTTGGAAATGCCTTCTTTCGTTGATTACTTCAAAATGACAGCTTCCCAGAAAGAATAATTTCACAGGGAGTTTAGTCCCCTTACTATCTTTCAACCAAGTTTGTTTTTCAACAATAATTACGCCAGTTACTTTTCGGATGGCTGCAAATGATGGACTATACCTTTAAGCTGAATATATCACAAGCATATTTTAATATGTGAATGTTATTCAAATCATACTCAAATCAAATCAAGATACACTTTATAGTCGGACAAAGTCGCATATAGTCTGATTTTTTTTTACTCACGTCCACGTCTATAGTTTGTCCAAATAAACAAGTGTTTGTAAATTGGTTCCACTTGGTAGAAGCTTTTGAAGTGCTGAACAAAGCCAGGCATGTTACGAACCTTGTTCAAATCACTGTGAAGGAAAGAGATGCCGGAATATAATCAGAGTTTAGTGTTGGATTGGGTTTGAAGACAATGTAGAATGGATGCAAGGGGTTAGCTAGAATGGAAGAGTTTTAGAAAAGGGATATTAATTCCAAATTTCAGCCCAGGAAACTTATTCTGGTTAAAATAAGAGCATTTTGAAAATTCACTTTCAAAATTGAACACTTTACTACACGGGAACAAAGAAATGTCTCTACAAGGATACAAAGTTTGGAAGGTGTGTGGGTGGGTTTGGCTTTGGGTTTGGGTTTGGCTTTGGGTTTGGGTTTGGCTTTGGGTTTGGCGGTTTGGCTTTGGTGGTTTGGCTTTGGCTTTGGGTTTGGCGCTTTGGCTTTGGGTTTGGCGGTTTGGCTTTGGGTTTGGCGGTTTGGCTTTGGGTTTGGGTTTGGCTTTGGGTTTGGGTTTGGGTTTGGCTTTGGGTTTGTCGGTTTGGCTTTGGTGGTTTGGCTTTGGCTTTGGGTTTGGCGCTTTGGGTTTGGCGGTTTGGCTTTGGGTTTGGGTTTGGCTTTGGGTTTGGGTTTGGCTTTGGGTTTGTCGGTTTGGCTTTGGTGGTTTGGCTTTGGCTTTGGGTTTGGCGCTTTGGCTTTGGGTTTGGCGGTTTGGCTTTGGGTTTGGCGGTTTGGCTTTGGGTTTGGCTTTGGGTTTGGGTTTGGCTTTGGGTTTGGCGGTTTGGCTTTGGGTTTGGCTTTGGGTTTGGCGCTTTGGCTTTGGGTTTGGCGGTTTGGCATTGGGTTTGGCTTTGGCTTTGGGTTTGGGTTTGGATGTGGGTGACCACAAATTCGTAGCCTTTCGTAGGGTTTGGCTTTGGGTTTGTCGGTTTGGCTTTGGTGGTTTGGCTTTGGCTTTGGGTTTGGCGCTTTGGCTTTGGGTTTGGCGGTTTGGCTTTGGGTTTGGCGGTTTGGCTTTGGGTTTGGCTTTGGGTTTGGGTTTGGCTTTGGGTTTGGCGGTTTGGCTTTGGCTTTGGGTTTGGCTTTGGGTTTGGCGCTTTGGCTTTGGGTTTGGCGGTTTGGCATTGGGTTTGGCTTTGGCTTTGGGTTTGGGTTTGGATGTGGGTGACCACAAATTCGTAGCCTTGTGGAGACTCACACACAATAGGGAACAAAACATTGTAAAGGTCTCCACAGGGCAATTTCTATAGATGAATAGGTCTCCACAAGGTTTTCACGAAATAGATATATGGGTTTTACTCAAAAACTAGGAATTTCCAAGGTGGGTTTATTTGTCGCAAATGGAAGAGTTTTAGAAAAGGGATATTAATTCCAAATTTCAGCCCAGGAAACTTATTCTGGTTATAAAATAAGAGCATTTTGAAATTTCACTTTCAAAATTGAACACTTTACTACACGGAAACAAAGAAATGTCTCCACAAGGATACAAATTTTGGAAGGTGTGTGGGTGGGTTTGGCTTTGGGTTTGGCGGTTTGGCTTTGGCTTTGGGTTTGGCGCTTTGGCTTTGGGTTTGGCGGTTTGGCTTTGGGTTTGGCTTTGGCTTTGGCTTTGGGTTTGGCGGTTTGGCTTTGGCTTTGGGTTTGGATGTGGGTGACCACAAATTCGTAGCCTTGTGGAGACTCACACACAATAGGGAACAAAACATTGTAAAGGTCTCCACAGGGCAATTTCTATAGATGAATAGGTCTCCACAAGGTTTTCACGAAATAGATATATGGGTTTTACTCAAAAACTAGGAATTTCCAAGGTGGGTTTATTTGTCGCAAATGGAAGAGTTTTAGAAAAGGGATATTAATTCCAAATTTCAGCCCAGGAAACTTATTCTGGTTAAAATAAGAGCATTTTGAAAATTCACTTTCAAAATTGAACACTTTACTACACGGAAACAAAGAAATGTCTCCACCAGGATACAAATTTTAGAAGGTGTGTGGGTGGGTTTGGCTTTGGCTTTGGCTTTGGGTTTTGCTTTGGGTTTGGGTTTGGCTTTGGCTTTGGGTTTGGCTTTGGGTTTGGGTTTGGCTTTGGGTTTGGCTTTGGCTTTGGGTTTGGCGGTTTGGCTTTGGGTTTGGCTGGGTTTGGTGGTTTGGCTTTGGCTTTGGCTTTGGGTTTGGCGGTTTGGGTTTGGCTTTGGGTTTGGCGGTTTGGCTTTGGGTTTGGCGGTTTGGGTTTGGCGGTTTGGGTTTGGCTTTGGGTTTGGGTTTGGCTTTGGGTTTGGCTTTGGCTTTGGGTTTGGCGGTTTGGGTTTGGCTTTGGCTTTGGCGGTTTGGCTTTGGCTTTGGCTTTGGGTTTGGGTTTGGCTTTGGGTTTGGCTTTGGGTTTGGCGGTTTGGCGGTTTGGCTTTGGCTTTGGCTTTGGCGGTTTGGGTTTGGCGGTTTGGCTTTGGGTTTGGCTTTGGCGGTTTGGGTTTGGCTTTGGCTTTGGCTTTGGGTTTGGCTGTGGCTTTGGGTTTGGCTGTGGCTGTTTTACTCAAAAAAATAGGAATTTCCAAGGTGGGTTTATTTGTCGCAAAAGGAAGAGTTTTAGAAAAGGGATATTAATTCCAAATTTCAGCCCAGGAAACTTATTCTGGTTAAAATAAGAGCATTTTGAAAATTCACTTTCAAAATTGAACACTTTACTACACGGAAACAAAGAAATGTCTCCACAAGGATACAAATTTTGGAAGGTGTGTGGGTGGGTTTGGCTTTGGGTTTGGGTTTGGGTTTGGCTTTGGGTTTGGGTTTGGGTTTGGCTTTGGGTTTGGGTTTGGGTTTGGGTTTGGCTTTGGCTTTGGGTTTGGCTTTGGGTTTGGCTTTGGGTTTGGGTTTGGCTTTTGGCTTTGGCTTTGGCTTTGGCTTTGGCTTTGGGTTTGGCTTTGGCGGTTTGGCTTTGGCTTTGGCTTTGGGTTTGGCTTTGGCGGTTTGGCTTTGGCTTTGGGTTTGGCGGTTTGGCGGTTTGGGTTTGGCTTTGGCGGTTTGGCTTTGGCTTTGGCCAAGTTCGGGCAAGGACCATTAGTCGACTAGTGGTTGATTTGTGACGAACGTCTCTAGTCAAACGCTGGTCAAAATGTCATCGCAAAAATTCTGGATCCTGGCTCTCTGCTAGCGGCTATTGGTTACCAAGCGAAGCAACCAACCCCAGTAGGCTGGTTCCAAATAGTCGACTAGCGTAGTCAACCATCGTCGACTAGACAGAGTTCGGGCAAACGTTAGTTAACCATTGGTCAACTATAGTCCTTGCGCGAACTTGGCCATTGGCTTTGGCTTTGGGTTTGGCTTTGGCTTTGGCTGTGGCTGTGGCTTTGGGTTTGGCTGTGGCTGTTTTACTCAAAAACTAGGAATTTCCAAGGTGGGTTTGGGTTTGGCGGTTTGGGTTTGGCTTTGGGTTTGGGTTTGGCTTTGGGTTTGGCTTTGGCTTTGGGTTTGGCGGTTTGGGTTTGGCTTTGGCTTTGGCGGTTTGGCTTTGGCTTTGGCTTTGGGTTTGGGTTTGGCTTTGGGTTTGGCTTTGGGTTTGGCGGTTTGGCGGTTTGGCTTTGGCTTTGGCTTTGGCGGTTTGGGTTTGGCGGTTTGGCTTTGGGTTTGGCTTTGGCGGTTTGGGTTTGGCTTTGGCTTTGGCTTTGGGTTTGGCTGTGGCTTTGGGTTTGGCTGTGGCTGTTTTACTCAAAAAAATAGGAATTTCCAAGGTGGGTTTATTTGTCGCAAAAGGAAGAGTTTTAGAAAAGGGATATTAATTCCAAATTTCAGCCCAGGAAACTTATTCTGGTTAAAATAAGAGCATTTTGAAAATTCACTTTCAAAATTGAACACTTTACTACACGGAAACAAAGAAATGTCTCCACAAGGATACAAATTTTGGAAGGTGTGTGGGTGGGTTTGGCTTTGGGTTTGGGTTTGGGTTTGGCTTTGGGTTTGGGTTTGGGTTTGGCTTTGGGTTTGGGTTTGGGTTTGGGTTTGGCTTTGGCTTTGGGTTTGGCTTTGGGTTTGGCTTTGGGTTTGGGTTTGGCTTTTGGCTTTGGCTTTGGCTTTGGCTTTGGCTTTGGGTTTGGCTTTGGCGGTTTGGCTTTGGCTTTGGCTTTGGGTTTGGCTTTGGCGGTTTGGCTTTGGCTTTGGGTTTGGCGGTTTGGCGGTTTGGGTTTGGCTTTGGCGGTTTGGCTTTGGCTTTGGCCAAGTTCGGGCAAGGACCATTAGTCGACTAGTGGTTGATTTGTGACGAACGTCTCTAGTCAAACGCTGGTCAAAATGTCATCGCAAAAATTCTGGATCCTGGCTCTCTGCTAGCGGCTATTGGTTACCAAGCGAAGCAACCAACCCCAGTAGGCTGGTTCCAAATAGTCGACTAGCGTAGTCAACCATCGTCGACTAGACAGAGTTCGGGCAAACGTTAGTTAACCATTGGTCAACTATAGTCCTTGCGCGAACTTGGCCATTGGCTTTGGCTTTGGGTTTGGCTTTGGCTTTGGCTGTGGCTGTGGCTTTGGGTTTGGCTGTGGCTGTTTTACTCAAAAACTAGGAATTTCCAAGGTGGGTTTATTTGTCGCAAATGGAAGAGTTTTAGAAAAGGGATATTAATTCCAAATTTCAGTCCAGGAAACTTATTCTGGTTAAAATAAGAGCATTTTGAAAATTCACTTTCAAAATTGAACACTTTACTACACGGAAACAAAGAAATGTCTCCACAAGGATACAAATTTTGGAAGGTGTGTTGGTGGGTTTGGCTTTGGGTTTGGCTTTGGGTTTGGGTTTGGGTTTGGCTTTGGGTTTGGCTTTGGTGGTTTGGCTTTGGCTTTGGGTTTTGCGGTTTGGCTTTGGCTTTGGGTTTGGCTTTGGGTTTGGTGGTTTGGTTTGGTGGTTTGGCTTTGGCTTTGGCTTTGGGTTTGGCTTTGGCGGTTTGGCTTTGGCTTTGGCGGTTTGGCTTTGGCTTTGGCGGTTTGGCTTTGGCTTTGGGTTTGGTGGTTTGGCTTTGGCTTTGGCTTTGGCTTTGGCTTTGGCTTTGGCTTTGGCGGTTTGGCGGTTTGGCTTTGGCGGTTTGGCTTTGGCTTTGGCGGTTTGGCTTTGGCTTTGGCTTTGGCGGTTTGGCTTTGGCGGTTTGGCTTTGGCTTTGGGTTTGGCGGTTTGGCTTTGGCGGTTTGGCGGTTTGGCTTTGGCGGTTTGGCTTTGGCTTTGGCGGTTTGGCTTGGCGGTTTGGCTTTGGCTTTGGCGGTTTGGCTTTGGCTTTGGCGGTTTGGCTTCGGCGGTTTGGCGGTTTGGCGGTTTGGCGGTTTGGCGGTTTGGCTTTGGCGGTTTGGCGGTTTGGCTTTGGCGGTTTGGCTTTGGCTTTGGCTTTGGCGGTTTGACTTTGGCGGTGGCGGTTTGGCTTTGGCGGTTTGGCGGTTTGGCTTTGGCTTTGGGTTTGGCGGTTTGGCTTTGGCGGTTTGGCTTTGGCTTTGGCTTTGGCGGTTTGACTTTGGCGGTGGCGGTTTGGCTTTGGCGGTTTGGCGGTTTGGCTTTGGCTTTGGGTTTGGCGGTTTGGCTTTGGCGGTTTGGCTTTGGCTTTGGCTTTGGCGGTTTGGCTTTGGCTTTGGCGGTTTGGCGGTTTGGCTTTGGCTTTGGCGGTTTGGCTTGGCGGTTTGGCTTTGGCTTTGGCGGTTTGGCTTTGGCTTTGGCGGTTTGGCTTCGGCGGTTTGGCGGTTTGGCGGTTTGGCGGTTTGGCGGTTTGGCGGTTTGGCGGTTTGGCGGTTTGGCTTTGGCGGTTTGGCGGTTTGGCGGTTTGGCTTTGGCTTTGGCGGTTTGACTTTGGCGGTGGCGGTTTGGCTTTGGCGGTTTGGCGGTTTGGCTTTGGCTTTGGGTTTGGCGGTTTGGCTTTGGCGGTTTGGCTTTGGCTTTGGCTTTGGCGGTTTGGCTTTGGCTTTGGCGGTTTGGCGGTTTGGCTTTGGCGGTTTGGCTTCGGCGGTTTGGCGGTTTGGCGGTTTGGCTTTGGCTTTGGCGGTTTGGCTTTGGCTTTGGGTTTGGCTTTGGGTTTGGTGGTTTGGCTTTGGCTTTGGCTTTGGCGGTTTGGCTTTGGCGGTTTGGCTTTGGCGGTTTGGCTTTGGCGGTTTGGCAGTTTGGCTTTGGCTTTGGGTTTGGCGGTTTGGCTTTGGCGGTTTGGCTTTGGCTTTGGCTTTGGCGGTTTGGCTTTGGCGGTTTGGCTTTGGCGGTTTGGCTTTGGCGGTTTGGCTTTGGCGGTTTGGCGGTTTGGCTTTGGCGGTTTGTCTTTGGCGGTTTGGCTTTAGCGGTTTGGCTTTGGCGGTTTGGCTTTGGCTTTGGCGGTTTGGCTTTGGCTTTGGCCAAGTTCGGGCAAGGACCATTAGTCGACTAGTGGTTGATTTGTGACGAACGTCTCTAGTCAAACGCTGGTCAAAATGTCATCGCAAAACTTCTGGATCCTGGCTCTCTGCTAGCGGCTATTGGTTACCAAGCGAAGCAACCAACCCCAGTATGCTGGTTCCAAATAGTCGACTAGCGTAGTCAACCATCGTCGACTAGACAGAGTTCGGGTAAACGTTAGTTAACCATTGGTCAACTATAGTCCTTGCGCGAACTTGGCCATTGGCTTTGGCTTTGGCTTTGGCTGTGGCTGTGGCTTTGGGTTTGGCTTTGGCTTTGGGTTTGGCTGTGGCTTTGGTTGTGGCTTTGGGTTTGGGTTTGGCTTTGGCTTTGGGTTTGGCTTTGGCTTTGGGTTTGGCTTTGGCTTTGGCTTTGGGTTGGGTTCAATTGGTTTGGGTTGGGTTCTATCGCGTTGGGTTCTATTGCATTAGGTTGGCTGGGTTGAGTTGGATTGGGTTCGATTAGGTTTGACTGGGTTGGGTTTGGCTGGGTTGGGTTTGGCTGGATTGGGCTGTGTTGGATTGGTTGGGTTAAATTGATCTTGGTTGGGATAACTTTCTCTGTCTTACGGGAGGAGTTCGAGAATGTAATGCATTGCGATTATTTTGTAAGAGGAGAACCCTTGTGGAAATCGGAAAACACAACACTCAGATCACAGAATGTTTATATTACCGTGCATCGTGAACAGATCCCTCTCGGCTTAGCTTCTGTTGAAGTCGTAATTTCTGCGCCTCTACCCAAACATCCCAGTTGAACAAGTGGACTTCTACAAACACAACAAGGATATTACAAATATTTGTTGTTGACATCAAGCTTTCAAAAATAAATTCTTACTCTGGTGGGACTTGAGCCAACCAGCTAAAGAAAGGAAAAGGAAAACATTTACACCGCTTACCCAATTGGCTTGCCAGGATTGGCTTAGTAGATATAGTTAGCAGCAACGACAACCATGAATGACATTTGTTAAAACTGCCTGGTCCTATTGGGTGACATCAAACCTCCTGGCAGAGCAGGGACTGAATGCTCACCTGCAGGTAACAAGGACTGTAACTGCTTGGTTTGGCAGGAAACCATGTGTTCGTTGTCGTCATCCAGGCCAAACAGAAACTTGAGGGCAACAACGACGTAAGCTAGAGCTTGGCATTCTGGACTTATGGGGTTGCTCAATGGATCCTCAAGCTTTGATGGAGGGGCCTGGAGACTTAAACGATGGGTGTACTGGCACAACTCCTCTGCAAAAAAAAAAGAGATATCGGGGAAATAAGGCCAATGTATTATCCTTATTTTAGTACTGTAGGTATGTGAAATATTTGATGGAATAGTGTCTTTGATGATAGAAGCGTGAAAATGGCGGCCATTTTTTGTCGCAGGCAAATTTGAGATAGCCCTATAGCCAAAAATCGTAACAGAGGTATGTCTAAAACAGCATGCCAAATTTCATGCTTCTATCATCAAAGGCACAATTTATTCACATATCTGCTGTACTTTTTAACATTTATTCTCTTTTTAATTAAAATATCTGTCCATTTCATTATTTTTTTGGACCATAAAGCCCCGTGATCAGATTGGCCTTAGCTGGGTTGATTTTGCCAAATTCCGCGTAACTTATGATCTATAGTCAGGTTGGCGCAGTGGTTACTTTTCTCGCCTTCCACAGCTGTGGCCTGGGTTAGATTCCTCCCCGGACCACATGTGGATCGGATTTTCAGTCCCTACCTGATTCCATGGGTTTCCCTCAGAATATTTCAAAATTTGCTGTATTTTAAATTTGTTGCAAAATTTTGTAATAAAAAGTTTGAAGTCGGCAATTTGGCCTAAAAAAATCCAGGTAGGTCGGATGGCCGTGAATACAATTTTCATTTTTAGGCCTCATAGATTCTCTTAAGGATTCTCCTAAGTACGTTGTATGTGTGAGGAATCACAAGCGTATTTTTTTGTAACAATGATTATTTCATGTACTTATTTTGTGGTCAATAAATAGTTATCAGAATTTCATCAGGGAGTCCTCAGAGTTTCTCTCCCAAAACTTTGAACATCCCTCGACAAACTGACAGGCGATATAGGCCTGTCCAGTGCATCTCACTCAACATAATTCACATTGGGTAAATTTAGAAAACAATGGGAGCTTCAGGTACTATCTTTACATTTTAAAACTTGTTCGACTTATGTGGGGGTTTTGGGAAGAAAACAGCTTACTTGGTAGATTGAGAGTGTGGATCGCTCTTGCTAGGAGGAAGCCCATCTCTGTCAGGCTCAGGGGTTGCGGGATCAGGTCCAACTCGGCCGACAATTGCTTCAGGAGGCCGAACACATGGTTGACATCGGGCAGGTACTGAGAGTCGGTAAGGAAAAAAAAGATAATCATTACATTTTACTATGTCTGATTTCTCTTCACCATGCAGAAATGGAATGAGGCATAAGAGCTGTCGGAGTCCCTGTAAAATTACCAAGTACTTGGATCATTTGTATTTATCTGAAGAGGAATCTTCCCAAATTAGTATCAAAAAGTTTACTTGGATTAAAGATCGTACTGGTACTAAACACCCCGTGAAATTATTCTGTCTGGCTTGCTGTTATTAAGAAGAACTCAAGAAATGTAGGTGATTTCCAACGATCAGTCAATTGACAATTTTTGGAAATAAAGAGTGCTGTTGACGAAATTGTGTTTCGTGATAAACAGTTTGTGCATTTTTTTTTCACTGTTTTCTCAAAAAGTGTAATATCCACTGAGCTGAAAGTTCAACAGGTTAGGTTTTGAACACTCTTCTTTAGGTGTTATTATTGGAAACGAACAAAATGCATGGTAAGCAAATGATCCTATATACGAGACAGGCTCCTTAGCTGTGTGACTTACCACAACGGGGTTGCAGAACCTTGCGATCTCCGCCTTGCCCATACCCTTTGAGATGTGCTCTGGAAGGACATCCGCTGTTGACCTCAGAGGGAGATGACCTTGGCGGACCCACCTGATTGGACAGATTTATCAATGGATTTGACAATGTATTTATTTTAAAAACAAGTCAATGTATTGATTAATCAAGTGATTAATCAGTTAATAAATTGATTAATCTATGTATTGCTTTATCATTTATATCATCACTGACCAATCAATAAATCAATCAATTCCAGATTGCTACCTTTCACAGGGAACCAATTTGAGTCACAAACAGTATATCAAGTATTTTTTTAAATAAATGTGTAGAGAATTTTAGGAACATGGGCAGTGGTGCTGTTTATTAACAATATTTATAACATTTTCTGTTTTAGCCTCTGAAGAAGAACTTGCTAAGTTCGCAACGTCAGGCCACATTAATTTTTAGATTTAATATTTATAACAGATACTTATATAGCGCTTTCAACTAAGATTAAAGTGTTTTACATTATTAGTACCCCCAATCATCGGACCAATATGAAGCGTTCCAAAGACAATGTCAGCTCGATGAGAAGTGTACAGCTCAATGCAGCCATTTCGGCGCAAAGCAGCTAAAATCTACCACAATAACCATCTCTGCCCTCACAGGTACCCATTTACTCCTTGGTGGGGAGAAGCAATGAGTGACAAAGTGCCTTGCTCAAGGGCACACGCACCATGACCCAGGCTGGACTTGAAACCACAACCTGCAGAATTACCCCCGGACTATGAATTTGATGCTCCAGTTTACAAGGGCACAGCACTTAAATTCAAACTTAATGTACTCTAACGCCCTTTTGCTAGGAACCATCCTCAATCCTCCAAATTCCTCCAAAAGTTTGTACTTATGTTCAAATGAAAGATACCCACTGTCCCAATCCTTCAAAATCCTCCAACAGCCCTGCCTCTCAAAATGCATTCATCCTCAATCCTCCAAAATCCTCCTCTTCTTCAAACACCATTCAGCCTCAATCCTCTAAAATCCTCCAAAATTTGTTGTATTCAGTCTCAATCCTCCGAAATCCTTCAAAACCGAACAGAGGACTTTTGGAGGAATTGAGGAAGGTTACAGTTAAATTAAAGTCCTTCCTACCCGAACAAGCACGTATATGCCCCTCTGTTTACCTAAGCAAGTCAGAGAGCAGAACGTGCTCCTTCAGTGCTTGCAGTCCGATGTACATGAAGCACACGCTGTCCCAGCTGCTCAGTAACACCTTCTTGCCCTCGGATCTCGGGGCTATCTTGGGAATCTTGAGACGACTCAACCACTCATCTTTGCAGACTGAATTCCCCTTGCGCTTGCCTACGGGTCAAAGGTCAAACCAAAAAAAGAAAGAAGCAGAAGTTGATTCTTAATTAAGCTATGTCACCTCAGACTCAAATTGGCTGTGTCCTTATGGGCTCCTTGCACCGGGGAGAGTTAGGGGAGACTACTGGGAGAGACATTCGAATGGAATGCCGACGATGCCTGACGCTCGCGCAAAGACGCAATAGATGACGCCGTTCAGATTAGTCGTGCATACTTCAAGCCATACGCACGTGAGCCAGAGAACACACATGGTGTGTTCCATCCACTGGGCACTCGAAAGCGGTCAAAAAGCGCCCTCTCTTGTTCACGCATGGAGCCCATAGCTGCGAGGAAGAATGAATCTTCTTATTTCCAAAACGTGATAAACGCCATTTTGTTACCTTTTAGAATACCGCCCTCTCCTGACTGCCCAAAGTCAGTTTCGACTGCTGTCATATAGTTTAACACAATTTACGAATACAATAAAGAGAACAATGAAATTTAGAAACCGCTGCTATCCTGTTTTTATTCTTTAAAGAGTCATAACCGCGCAAGTGTTTCACTTACTTCAAATGGATATATCGCGCTTTGGAAATAAACACTTCATATTCATTTCTCACGTTTAGTGCGAGGCAGCGTTTTGGCTGCATCTTTCTCCCACTCCTCATTGCTGTCCACTTCATCCTCAAGATTGGTGCTTGCTTCATCCTCAAGATTGGTGCTTGCTTCATCCTCAAGATTTGTGTTTGCTTCATCCTCAAGATTGGTGTTTTCTTCATCCTCAAGATTGGTGCTTGCTTCATCCTCAAGATTGGTGCTTGCTTCATCCTCAAGATTTGTGTTTGCTTCATCCTCAAGATTTGTGTTTTCTTCATCCTCAAGATTGGTGCTTGCTTCATCCTCAAGATTGGTGCTTGCTTCATCCTCAAGATTTGTGTTTGCTTCATCCTCAAGATTGGTGTTTTCTTCATCCTCAAGATTGGTGTTTGCTTCATCCTCAAGATTGGTGCTTGCTTCATCCTCAAGATTTGTGTTTGCTTCATCCTCAAGATTTGTGTTTTCTTCATCCTCAAGATTGGTGTTTGCTTCATCCTCAAGATTGGTGCTTGCTTCATCCTCAAGATTGGTGTTTGCTTCATCCTCAAGATTGGTGTTTGCTTCATCCTCAAGATTGGTGTTTGCTTCATCCTCAAGATTGGTGTTTGCTCCATCCTCAAGATTTGTGTTTGCTTCATCCTCAAGATTGGTGTTTGCTTCATCCTCAAGATTGGTGTTTGCTTCATCCTCAAGATTGGTGTTTGCTTCATCCTCAAGATTGGTGTTTGCTTCGTCCTCAAGATTTGTGTTCGCTTCATCCTCAAGATTGGTGTTTGCTCCATCCTCAAGATTTGTGTTTGCTTCATCCTCAAGATTGGTGTTTGCTTCATCCTCAAGATTTGTCTTTTCTTCATCCTCAAGATTTGTGTTTGCTTCATCCTCAAGATTGCTGTCCGCTTCATCCTCAAGATTGGTGCTTGCTTCATCCTCAAGATTGGTGTTTGCTTCATCCTCAAGATTTGTGTTTGCTTCATCCTCAAGATTTGTCTTTTCTTCATCCTCAAGATTTGTGTTTGCTTCATCCTCACAATTTGTGTTTGCTTCATCCTGAAGATTTGTGTTTGCGTCATCTGCTTTGGGTGTCTCACAGAACGCTGCGCCCGACTTGCTCAAGAAACGGAACCAGAGCTGCATCACAATCTCCTGAAGAAAAAAGTATAATGGAAACTTGTAAAAGGAGCCAAGATTTTCTTGAAAAATGGCTGTGAAGAAAATTTGACCTTTGCCAAAATAAAATAATATCACCACAGGATCCACGCTCTTTCTTTTTTTGGGCCATCATGTAAACTTTTTTTTTTTTTTTCAAATTAAAAAAAAGAAAGAAATTTGACTTTGTATCCCCAACTCTCTCTTTGGCACCGTTTTTTTTTTTTTGGGGGGGGGGGGAGTACATGTGCACAGAGTTTATAATCAGTCTGTTGCCTATAGAGTAATAAAATCCATCACCACAGCTTCAAAAACTGGTGACCGGTTGTCAAACTGGGTGAGAACACAGGTTGTTCTAGTACCCCCTCGACTTACGTTCGCAAGGTAATTCGAACGGCCCGACATGCAGCACACGACGCGCACCTAGCCATTCGGATTGGGGCCGTATTTGAACTAGGCCATAAATACAGGTTCCAATTTGGGATACGATCAGATGCAGGATCGGGGCAATGGGGCATGAGCATTGCAAAATGTACAGTCGTACTTTTAGTGAATCCTGCGTGCACACTTCATTATCAAGATCAAACAGTTTTCGATTTTGGAAGAATTTGAGTAGGGGCAAGTACAAATTAAACATTCCATGGCTTGATCTGGTCGGGGGACTGTGTTTTGAGGGGCTTTAACGCAAGTCGCGGGGTCGATGGATGAAGGGTCGTGGGTCGTAGGGGTTCAGGGGGTTCAGAACAACTCTGAGAGCACTCACATCTAGTCTGGAGGGGAATCCCAACGCGAGCAGAGCCTGGACCTGAGCCTTCAAGATGGCCTGATACAGCTCACATGACCACCAAGAACGCTCCTCAGGCTCTCCATCTAATACAAGGAGATACCAAAACGCAGAAGGAAAACATGGCATTAGGCCCCATAAATTCAAGGTTAAATCTCCTTTAAGAATTGATTTTATTCTTCAAACTTGGTTGGTGAAATACGGAGGACCTGTTCTTCTCCCAATGAAAATTTTGGACAATTTTGCTGGCTAAAAAGTGAGCAAAGTTGGTCTGATTTTGTTTTGCATGTTTTTCAGCATGCAAGGTACTAGGTCCCTGCCTGGAATTAACCCTAACCCCCTAGGCCCCCTGGCTAGGATGCATCCTCAATCCTGCAAAATCCTCCAATTGCCACTAAGAAAAAAAATTGGATTCAGCCTCAATACTCCAAAATCATACGTTATTTCTTGAATTCCGTCTGTGGAGGGTGACCACTGCCTCAATCCTCCAAAATCCTCTGCCAATTGCTATGGTTTGACACAGTGCGGATGGCGTTTAGAAGCAGTGCAGATGAAATACAAGAAAAACACAGGGCTGATTTATGCATGGCTAAACATAACCAATGCAGGATATGGCCTACTGGCTTGATGTAATGCATCCTCCACCAAAAAAGCGATACATCTTTGCCATTCATCCTCAATCCTCTAAAATCATCCAAAACGGGCGGGAGGATTTTGGAGAATTGAGGAGGGTTAGGGTTAAGGATGCAAACCTGTTTTGTCTTCAGTCACTTTCTTTTTGACGCTCGTTTTGTAGTACTTGGTGAAATGAGAGAATCCCTGTAAGCCACTGTAGTCTCTGTCCTCCTCAATCACATGCATGACCTGCAGACAAAGAAGAAATTGCAACCCATAAAATACACTGTGTACACTTCACACAAACTTCTATGCCAATTAAAAATAGTGCGAGCACTAATAGTGTGGACAGTACTACGAGTAGTAGCTCCCGACCAGGGCCTTGAGTGCAGAAAAACATGCAACCAAAATCAGGCCATCTTTATTCACTCTTTAGCTGACATAATTCTCGAAAATGTTCGTGACGAAAAGATAAGGTATTTGCCTAGTATTTCACCGGCCAAGCTTAAGGTCTCAATTCAATTTTAAAATAAGACTTTTCTTCAACATTCTGACTTTTGAAAAAGGGGGGACGGCACTTTTCTACCACTTTAAAGAGGGTGCGTTTGGTTCTAAAGCCTAAATTAGCTAGGCCTACAAAGCCTAAATGTGAAAATAAAAACTTGACAAAGTTCTACATTTTTGGGTACATGTTCCAAAAGTGTGGCCTATATTTACGGAGGTAGTCCAGTTAATTGGCCACATTTATGGGGCTTGTCTGTCTATGGAGTCAAGAAGAATTTCAAGTATTTTCTAACAAAATTGGAAATGTTTCTGAGACTCAATCATCATGTTGTCAGTCCCAGATTCGTGTCTTTTCATCAATTTTACTTACTGACCGCCATTGAGATAATGGTGATCGGGTAGTGTAGGGCCCGGTTCCTTAGTATAAGGGCATGAAGGGAACAAAATCCACTTTCAAATTATTTGACCAACCATTAAACTAGTTGGCAACATTAAAAACATATAGGTATGTCATAGATAAAGGGCAGGGGTTTTAATTTTTGAGGGAAATTTAGGGGGTAAAATGACGATGACAACGACAAAACGCAACACGAAAATAAAGATGAAAAAAAGTTGCGTAAAGGATGCAACGTTCTTTTCACTTGTTGTACACACACGTGGGTGGCCAAGGAAGGGCAAGGCCAAGGGGCACGAGCGACCGCACGGGGTTTAATCCAGTGACGGGCCACAGACTGGCATTCACAGCTGAGCTGGACTCACTCACTGAGTGGCTGGCTGAATTGAGTTACCTGCGACTGAGTGTCACATTCGTTGCAATAAAACAGGCCTCCGTGCTCATAAAAGTCGACCTCTTGCCGACAGTTTCCACAAGTAGGCATTCCTGCCCCGAAGTGTAGGTAGCTAGTTCCACGGCCTACTCTTGTCTGAAGAAATTAAAACAAAATAGGAAGAAAACGCATTTATTTACCATGCCATGTTTTACGATTTACAACGGCGCGCGCCTTTGGTAATTGTGTATAGCGCCCTCAACGTGTAGATGACAAAATATGATCTGGTTTCCAACCCACACCCGCCTAGTTCCTGTCTCGCTTCCAAGCGTGTTTAGCACATAAACAAAACAAGCACCTAGCTAGACGTCATACGGGTCATCACACTGCGACGCGATGACAGCTGTATGAGCGAGCAGGTACGTGGTTCAATGTTTATTTCAGAAAGTGACGAAATTATAGCTTTTGGTGGTGTGATGATGCTTTGAGTCTTTCATAACCCTTGTGGCTAAAACGAAGAAAAAAACCCTCTGTCAGAAGGTAAATGTTCTTTTGTTCTCAATCAGAAATTTTGATTTCGTTACAAACAAAGACAACACGATGACGATGAAGAATCTTCATGTTTTTGTAGCTTGGCCTTGAGTAACTCCAGCTGACATGCTCATATTCATTCATGAGCATGTCAGCTGGAGTTACTGAAGCGGAAAGATTTCCATATACGAAGTTCACTAATTTTCCTCTGTATTGACTAACAAGGGAGTAATTGCAGAATACCCTGCCACTCGGAAATACACCCCTAAAATCACTGGCTACGAAGTTGGAATCACTGCAAAAGAAACAATTCAAGTCCATTGCCAGCTACGCGGATACTGAGTGGGGGTCCATTATTTGAGAACGAAGCAACACAAAAGGAATGGGAGTTGCTGAAAAAATTCTAAGTCCAAACCAACTGCCCTGTTGGCGGCTACGAGGCTACGGAGTGGGAGTCCCTTGCTTGAATATGCTTGAGAACGAAGCAACACAAAAGGAATGGGAGTTGCTGAAAAAATTCAAAGTTCAAACCAACTGCCCTGTTGGTGGCTACGCGGTCACGAAGTGGGAGTGCAATGGAGCATGACGCATAGTACATTTAAGTAGCGCTGAGAATGTTTATTGAGGTCAATCAACCGTGACCTCGTAGCCGGCTACGAGGTGGATAGATCGAATGGCGGGGTATTCTGCAATTGTGCCCTAACAAGCCCCCAGATAGCAATATCATGTCATCAAAGTCAATTTGAGCAGTGAGAAAATACAAGCATTTTCTTAGAAAACACTTAGAATTTTTCAGTCCAATCTCATAGGGTTTGTACACAGGGTGTTGAGTGAACTTATATGGAAATCTTTCCACTGAAGCTAATGTTTTTGCACTTTGCAGATGTAACTTCAACATGTTCAAAGTGGTTGTGCACACAAGACTATGGAGAGACAAGAATATTTTCAAAGTATTTTTTAACAATATCGGAAATGTTCCCAGATTCATGTTTTCTCAATATTTTTGCGATGACTGACTTTCATTGAGATAATATATGATGAAAAAAAGTTGCGTCAGGATGCAATAATATTCTGATAGTCATGATAGTCCTTTTACCTTTACTTCTATTTTTACGAGTTCTGTTCAAAACTAGCTCGAGTAACTCCAGCTGACATGCTCCATATTCATTCACATGTAACGCTGGAGGCATAACCTGTTCGTTAGAATGTGGTAGCAAGAGACCCTAAAAAAATGGCCTCTCAAACATTGTTCATTTTCACCTCTAATATCCCACCCCAGAGTTCATTTACATACCTCATACATTCAGCAGTCATTTACGAAGCCTAATGATCGACTTGAAACAGACCCCCCCCAAAAAATGTGAAAAATCTTGACGATTTCAGTGGCTTGTCCGTAAAAAAACGCCAGTTCCAACGGCTGTCGTCCATTTTGTTTTGCTAATTATGTAAATGTATGCATCACGTGATGACATCAAAAAAAATCTGCGCGCGCGATGTATGTGGGTACCACACCGCTTTCAGAGGCCGCAAGTGAGTTCAATTTTCGTCTGGTGCGTTGTCGTGCAGAGCATTCTCGTTCATGTCAGATCAGTCGTAATTTGAGCAAGATGTGCCCAATAGTTTTTGAGTTAGACAAAAAAGTATTGAGGGGGGACTTTCTTTTTTTGGTTGAGTGTATTTCACAGTACAGTACACCTCAAGTTCGATGCCTTGGGATAGCTCAGACTCTATTGTACTGAGATTTTCAACAAAAGTCTTTTTGTAAATCCAGATCACTGTTTTGACCGTGTCGTTAACTGTTCAACCATGGTGCTGTGGTTGAAGTGTTGTTTTGTCCAATTTTACAGCCCCTCAAAAAGTCCTTTTAACAAGTGCAACACTGGCGTCTAGCCTTGTCTTTGTCAAAGGCCTACACTGACCTGACCTGAAAGTGAGGTCATGCATTGTACATGTCTACTCAGATTGACATCTATGGACAGTCTATGAATAATAGTGTTTGAACCTAACCAGTTGTGCTCTAGATTTACACTGTGAAAGAGTCCTTCCTGTCTGGAATGTGGCTTTATGGGCTGTAAAAGGCATTCACCATGAAATGAGAATAATTTGAAAGATACTTGAAAAGTGGAATATGGATACGCACACAACTACTGGTACAATGTATGAGATTTTTTTTAAAAAATTGTCACGACCGAAACATTGTTTTCACTGCCTGATTTTTTTTTGTTTTAAATTTCAGGAATTTTTTTTCTGAAATAATGATGTTGATTTTTGTCTTGTTTTCCTGTGTCATGTTTTGTTCATTTTATGAAGGCTTGAAAAGGCCATTGTTTCATTGTATTTAAACAAAAAAATTGTCATTTTTGGTAGACAGCTGAATTTTTTGATTTTTGTAATAAAATGGACATAACTTGTGAACATCTAGTAAGCATATTACGTGAAATTTTGACAGTTATAACCGGTACTTTATCCCAGGGTTGGCTGATTTAAATCACGTTGATTTAAAGCACTGATTTAAATTGCAATTTAGATCAAATGTTTTTTTAAATCACACTTTTTTTTATCACTGATTTAAATTACTTTTTTGTAAAAATCTTATTTTTGGCAAAATAGATTGATTGAGGGTCATTTTAAGTATTTAAATCAACCGATTCCACTTAATTACAAAGTGTAAGATGTTGTGAACACATTCAAACACCCCTGCTTCATCATCATCGACTCAACCTATGTAGATTTTGCGTAATTACCCAAAATCATTGTTTTGATTAAAGTCCAGGTCTGAGTTCAAGTTTTCTTCGATGTTTGAAGTTTAAAGACATCACACTCACTTTTGCTTTAATCATTCCTTGATCAGTTTACAGTAATATTGTGAATCAACTGTGCTGGCGTAGGCTTACATGTACCTGAACCATCTAAAGATGTATTAACGTCCAAATTGATAGACTTATTCCTAATGTTTCTCCATAAAAATGTATTTATTATGGTGCAAGGTCTGATTTCTGTTCTCCACCTTGTATGAAGGACCATCAATCAAACACTACAGTACATGTATTTAGTTACACAAGGATCAGTGCTGCCGGTTTTAAAACAAGAAGCATTTTTATGAAACAGACCTGTGTATGAAGAACTGTACTCTTATTTTTTTTTTATACCATGTACACGTACAATGTACCATAAATTATGTGTTTCATTCATATCCACACACAACGTATCTCAGCTGTATCAATCATGCCATGCACCTTTAAAGTGTCTTCAGTATTAATACCACTGAACCAGTGAGGTAGACTGCATGTAGATGAAATCAAGTTATTTTTTTTTAATCACTGATTCAATACAATTTTTCAAAAGCATTAATCAATTTATTGAGTTTTGTGGATGATGGAAAGGAACCTGTAAACTCCTTAGTGATGGGTGTAAGGGTGCATGGGAAGATTAAGACACATTTTTATACATATATATATCAATATTTTGAATGTAATTTTTTTTTTTTAATCTGATTTAAATTATTATAAGATGGAATTTTTGCGTCGGGGTGATATAAATCAAATTGGGTTTGCCAATTAAAAAATTTGATTTAAATTTAAAAAAATTGATTTAAATCAAATAAATCCGATTTTTTTTTTTATTAAAAAATATAAAAAAATTAAAAAATTACAAAAAAAAATAATACAAAAAACATCACTAACCCTGCCTTATCCCTATGTTATTTTTTACTAAATTAAGCAAACCACATATTTTTTTTTCTAAATATATTTTTCTCATTCTGCGTCACTTTCTTTTTGACTCACCATGTACATGTATTAAGTTGCCCATTTTTCAACACTAGTATTGTGTTCGACACTGGAAACTGAAATTGATAACCGTGGCCGTCATGTTTGACAGTGAAATAAATATAACATGTCGTTTGAATTCCACCACATTACCGTGACCTGACCTTTTCCTTGTTGTCCGTTTCCTGAAACATCATCGGCGGACAAATGGAGACATTCTTGCTCTGGGCATTTCAATTAGGTCCTTGCACCTGCAATTCACTCGGAAACTCAATCAAATAGTGGCTCGGTCATAGCAGACAAAGTTGGAATGAAATTTTGATTAGGGGAGCTTATTGTGGCAGGGTTCAGGAATGTAGTGAACTCTTCTTGCACTGTACTTGAGACGTCTATGTCGTCCTGTACTTAATTCATTTCTGGAGCAAATCTTAGCCCAAGACGTCAGTGATCAAGAGTGATAGTTGCAATGTTCTGTGATGATTTTTTGAGTCTGATTTTTTTCGTTCTGTCACTAACGTCTTGGTCATTTCGTAGCAATAGGATTGACAACCCACATACACATTTACGTTATGTGCCTAATGTGAACATTCCCTTGTTTTCGTGTTGTTAAAGAAAAACCAGAGAAAAAAATGCAGTTTTTTCGCACCGTGAAACACTCTTTCAACCCGAATTTTTGTGACTTTGAAAAAAGTGTTTGACAGAAAATTTGACAGAATGGATTTTTTTGGCAGATTTCTGGCAGAATTGTGCAAAAATGTTTATTTGAAAGAAAACCAGCAAATTTGAACAAAAAAGTGTACATTTGTTTAAAAAAGCTTCAATCCTTTCAAACAAACCCTTGCATAATGGGACAGGTTGGCTGGTCTAGGTGCTGACTCCGAGGTTCACTGGGAAACGGACTTCGTCATGGCCGGATCTGCATTTTTTCCCCAAATTTTTCCAATAATTTCACAACATCTTTATGTGACTAGATTGTTTATTATGTAATTTGAATCTTAATTAAGGCAGTACTACCAATCTGCATGTGATTTTAAGTGTTTATAGTGTATTTCAAGTAATTCTGGGGATTTTGGCAGATTTTTGATAAATCTGACAGATTTTTGATGTGCATTTAGCAGAATTTGGCTCTGACCTTACGGTCACCCTGCTATCTACCGGTACATACACAGAGGATCCTTCCTGTGCAAAGGCAATCCAAAATAAAAGCATTTTTTTTTTTTTTAATAAATTATAATCTGTGCTCTAATCCAGTAATCAGTGCACCAAAGGATGAAATTAATTTCTGTTGACAGCTCAATGGTACCGGTTTATCCTCAAGTGATATGAAAAATCGGAAGAAGACATTAAATTGATTAAAAAAAAAATACTTGCATACACATGTACTTGCAGTCCTAGCAGTAGCATTGTGTGTATTAATGCAAATGCTAACTATAAAAAATATGCACATTTTAAATGAAAAAAATATATATAAGCAAATGAGTGATACACAAAAATGGCAATACAAATGTACACGTACATTGTACTGGGTATGTAGGGTATCTGCGAATGTAATGGACGATTAACTTGTATATGGACATGTATGAGATTTTCTGACACTCGTTTGCAATCTCCTCAATCAACACAGAAAGAAATCCAGTGGACATGTACATGTACATGTACAGGAACAGTATACAATGTACATGTATATGTACACATGTACAATGTACAATGTACATGTATACAGGAATTACAGGGATATCTGGGGATGGTGTTTTTCCCCCAGAATGAAGAATACAGGATTCAGGGTGCAATCTACATCCTGTATGATTGAATTTGTCAGGCTTTGTTTGTTCGCGAGCCTCTTGAGGGAAAACAGTGGGCCAGGAAATATTCACCAGGGACGGGAGAATGTTGATTTTTCCGCCGACAAGGATAATGATGGATTTCTTGTCTGGAATCGTGCATAGGTGATTGATGTTAATAACCTTGTTGTGAGACCTCTCTCTCTCTCTCTCTCTCTCTCGGTCTTGCTCTTGCTCCCTGGAACACACCGATGACGCACGTGGCCTGGCCACTCCTTGTAATGCGATTCCGTCAATTCCGGTTGCTTTTATAATTCAATGTGCATGATGGGGTTGCTTGTTGATTGCGAACGAACGCCGGAGAGTACGTAAAGCAGTCTTGTCGACTTGATGAATAGAAATTCAAATGGAGGAGTATCGATACTGCGTTTAATTTCGGGGGGCTTTCGGAAGATGGGTCGTCTTGTCTTCAATTACGATCGGTGTTTGTCGGAAAGAGCTACTCCAGTGGTAATTGCTTCGTCAACAACCTCAGTAGCTGGTCGACCGGTTATTCAACATCACTGACGAGAGTGGTACATCACCTGCTGTCCAATTGACTTGAGTAATGAAGTATATGTTTGCGTCGACGTCTGTATGATGGCAATGAAATAGTTGAGTTGCGGTACCCACTGCTACATGTACATCAGATTTGAACCTGCCAACTGATCCTGCAAGTTCGTTGGTTGAGTGGTAAGATGTCTGCACTAGAAAGCAGGAGGTCATGGGTTCGAGTCCCACTCGAGACATTTTATCCAACTTTCACTCGGGAGGTAGCACACTGAGTATACAGTGTTTATACGTCGGTGAAGATCAAAAACCTAATATTGATTTACGTCACCCTGACGTAAAATTCCATCTTATGAATAATGAAATGGTTAGTACAGAAAAAGCATTCTAGTTTTCTCCAGAAAAATATCATCATTGTTCAATATAATCATCCTGTGTGTACATTGTAGGTGTGCCGATAGGCATGACTCTTAAATGGCCAATTCTATGGAATTATCGACCTCAGTGCCAAAACTTTTTTAAAAATCCAAATGCCACAAATGAAACATGTATGTCATTTTGAAGCTTATCTGTATTGTATTGAAATATAGATTATTTCTAACAATGTTCAACAGTTCAGCTGTGACTTTTAACTAAAAATATTAATAAGGACACCCCCCAAAAATCCATTTGTCGGGGTACGTCAGACAACATGGTGTTTTGAGCCGTTTCTACTACAGCAAAAATGCTGGATGAATTCTTTCTTTTAAAAATCATTGTAGTAACTAACTGACACGTTTTGTCAGAACTAAGATATTGTTTACTGAGATAAGATGTTGTGAGGGACGGCTTATTGTTTGTCTGACTTTGTCACCTTCACCAGTTTGTGACCTGTGAAAGTTGCAGAGCAGCTACAGTAGTAGTTCAACAGGTAAACACATGTCTGCAAATTGACCTTACCTAAGGGGAGGTCACTGGTTAAATGAAAACTCATGTTTGTTTTCCCACTCCCTGGGACTGTCGGGTTTGCAAAGGTGTACAGTGTACCCAAATGATAGATGGTGCTAGCTGTGAAAGTGAATGTACCACATAATTATGAGGTGTGTGGGGCTTTGTTTTGGTGATAGCCTTGAGTTCCAATAACTGTGTTAAAAAAGAGTGTGACTTTCTCTTGTAAACATGCGTTTGTCTATGGTGTAAATCGAGGACACACACGTGCAACATCATGGATGAATTGAGGACAGGAACCAAATCGAGGACTTCTTGGTTAGAAAACGTGTACAAAACAATGAGAGCTGTTGCAAAAAAGTTAGAGTATAGCAAAGGAAAAGGGAAGAGGAACAATAGAAAATCCTTGATTTACACCATAAACAAACGTGTGTGTACATGACTATGTATGCTATCACCCCTGTGTTTGCTTGAAACTCTCAAAAAATAATTGAAAGGTACAATGACCATCGTCAAATTCAAGAACGATTTCTTGGAGTCACATTTCACATTGTTGGGGGAGGGAAGCAGTTGACGGTATTCTCCAGATGTAACAATCATGAAGTGGATATGTCTTGAGAGTGTACGGACGTATTAGTCTGTGCCACTTTTTAACCTTTCCCACTTCACTCCAGTGCTCCAGAATGCAGATTCTGACAAGGTGTTGAGATGCTGTAACTGTCGGCAGACATTTCTTCCTCCTTCCCAAGAAAGTCTTTGCCTTTGTGAATATTTAAAACCACCTCTTCTTTAATCTCACTACCTCGATTTTGTGCCGGTGCGCCCGTCAAGTCAATACTGTGAAGGAGCTACGTTCGCAAGGGGCTGAACTTTTAACCAAAAGTCGGCTTCGTTTTCTCTCGAGTTGCCTGTCATCCCTCGAGCACCATTGTATTGCTGTGTCAGGAAATTGTCAAGTTTCATCACTTTCACGACCCGAAACCTGGGAGAAAAAAAAAAAGAGATGAATATTATATGAACAGAGACGGCTACATTTGACATTAAGTCCCTAAGGAGAGGGGATTTCTTGTAGCGTGATTCACTTCGTGGAGCAGGGGGAAGGGGGTAGGGGATCAAGTTTGATCATTCATGTCCGGATAGGTGGGGGAGGTGTGACTGTGAGGGCCCCCTGTTCCTTTGGCTCAATGCCAAGGTCGTCGCGTGTGACTCATACAGCGCTGACTGTTTTTGTTGATAAACACAGACATTTAACCTCGAATGACCTGATCTCTGAACTTTTTTGTTTGTTATTTTCTTTACTGGCAGGACATTTCTCTGGTCAGCAAAGCCGATTACATGTATACGTTGACATGTAGATGAGCTCCTGGGCTGCCGTCGGCTAGTGGATTGGAAGTGAATAAGTTCAAGAAGAGTGGAAGAAAAAGTTACGACCAGGATCGTTTCCAGAATCTGTGACAGAGTTGTTTCGGACAGTGTTCAGAGTCCTGTCCAGTTGTCATAGGTAAGTCACTGAGTTTAGCTCCCCAAACAGAGCTCTCTGGTATTTTGTTTTAAAGAGGAGAAACAAAAAACGGTCCATGTATAAAAGAAAGTTCTGCAGACTTTTCAGTATTTTTTAGTGTCAAGAAGAAGCACCAATTGAGATGAAATCTGCAAAGCCTCTCCTCATCAGCAAAAAAAGTTTAGCTGAATTATTTCTAAAAATGCTTACAAACCATAACATACATGTACAGGTTTTGAAAATTCCCTCTTTTGTTTTGTTTTGTTAATTCTGCTTGGATTTTCGGGATTGAATGAAAACGAAAGAAAACTGTAGCTCTGCTGTAGATATTATTTCATCAGCAAACGTGGCATACGGTACACGATGCATATGGGGTACAGGGAGTTAGTCTTAATTCTCAATAGTCTTAGTCATGTACCAGGGTTGGTTGATAAACATTCCATGACACAGGCCTTGTACTTGCCTGTCCCCATCACCCTAACCCTGGCATATCCTGTGCCTGGCAGAGACTGGACCGATTCTCCCCTCCCCCCCCCCCACCCCTCGGGATTCAAGCTAGAACCACAGCATGCACAGCTGACTGTCCGTGAGTGTTGGGAGGGTGAACCACAATTCACGGCTGGAGTAGGCCCATGTACTGCATGCAGTGTGTGTACTACATGTACTGTACATTAACGGTATAAAGGTACAGGTTTAGGGTGTCTCTAGTCAGTAGCGCTAGAAGCAGGTGTCTTGGCCAGGAGCTGACGGTTGATCTGCTCTGAACACAAACGTGGTGAGAATGTATCTTGCGTACTGTACTTTGACTTTCTATCTTGCCAATACTCTTGTGTTATTGTGTACATTGTGTTATGACCAAATTAAATGACCATCTGATACATGAACACAAGATGATGTTATAAATAGCTATTCCAATTAATAGTTTTTTCATCTGTATGAGGCTTTGTCTTGCCCGTGTGATTGTTCTCTCATAATCACTCGGGACAATGCTGAGTATACAGTGTTTATGCCCGTATGTTGGTCAAGGGCAAGACCCAATATTAAAGATAGAAGTACATCATTTGTTATTTGTCGCGCACTTTGCGGGTGTGATGCGGCTTCTCCATCCATCGCCTACTCTCTGGATGCACCTAAGTTGTGTGTGCAATTCGTAAACGCACACATACACCTTTTCCACTTTGTAGTACAACAGCGATATAAATTGCATAATGTAGCTGTTGGGCGCGATCGGTCGATCGCGCCATCATCGGTCAATCGCGCTGCTATCAAGCGATCACATTTTCTTTCAGATTCACGACTCCTGGAGGACTGTTTCGTAAAAAAGGAAGTAAAGTCTGAGATTTCTTACAGGATCGACTGATCGCACAATGCGATCGACAGAAAGCGCAATGCGATGGACTGATAGCGCAATGCGATCGACCGATAGCGTAATGCGATCGACCGATAGCGCAGATTCACCCATCGCAACCCACTGTACATACATGTACATGTACATGTAGCTATCTTATTTCATTGCACGGTACATGCATGAAAACAATTGTATGAAACAAATTGGCAAAACGTCCGGTGGACAATGTTGGTGATTTTTTGTTGATTTCTGAAATGAACGATGCTAAAAATCAGAGCATCCAAACAGATACACACACTTAAACATGTGCAACAACTATTGCACCAATTGTAAGTAAATCAGTACGTTTGTACACTCTGTACACTATGCAGGTGTAGTGACTATACAACATGATGTACGTACCAGTACATAACGTTACAATGAATTATACAAACAATATAAATCAGCCCTGATCAATTGTGTAGAAAAAAAAAACTGAATATAAAACATTGCTCATCGATGAAAATTTACTAAAAAAAAATTTTCTGACTTACGGTACTCATTTAATATACAGGGAACAAAATATTTTGCAAAATGGTATTCATTTTTTTGGATATAAATTGCAAAAAATCACATTTAATTGTTTGGCAATCTGAGAAATTACATGAACCTAGAGCAAAATGTTAAAATGGCAGCTTCGAGTGGCGCGAAATTTGCTTCGGTAAGCAAAGAATATTCGACGAAATTTGAGAAATAAAGACAGTGTCCTGAAATGTATTTCTCGCAGATCAAATCAGCGCGATATATAAATATTTAATAATTATATTGGATGTTATTTTTCGGGGGATACAAGAAAACATACATGTACATTGCACTTACAATAACAATATTGCACTTGGCTTCGACTTGTGCAATATTTTTATAGTGCGTGCAATATATTCATATATCCCCCGAAAAAAAGCCATCCAATTTTAATATCCTGTTATATATTCCTTGTATTTTTAGTTTTATTGCATGGGGAAAACACATGCAAAAAATAATACACTTTGTTTTTAAAAGCAGGGAGCTGTATTATGTGTACCTGGACCAGTGTGCCATAGAGTTTATGTTGCACAGTGTATGTGTACGTGTATTTGAAACCTGAGATGATGATATTTGATACATTTACATGTACTTGCTCTTTTGGGTTATTACATTTACAGCATCAAGTATCAGTATCGGGTACAATGTGTGACATGCACTACAGTCTGTATGCTGTATAAATAATAATAATGTTAACAGGAAGTGGATCATTTGGGAGACATTCCCATAGACTTGTGCACAACATTTGTCCATCTTTAATGTCACCTAACCCCGATTTTTGCCTTATCCTGCCCCCACGAATTTCGATATATTTTTGTTTTGGACCACGAGCAATTGATCTGGCCTATTTGAGACAAATAAATTTTGCCTCTTAACAGCTCTATGACAGTAGGGAGACATTGAAATGTCTACCTAATGTCTGGTGTCTCCCTAAGGTATAGTTAATGATGACACAATGTCTCCCACAGGTACCATTAACAGGTATTCTTATCAATATTTCATTTCTGGTAATGAAACCAAGGATTCCTCAAAAGCATCTTAGGCACTGTGGCTCGCAAGCCTGAAGAAACCTGTAGAGAGAAGACAATGAGAAGAAATTACAGTTTTAGAGGAGGAAGGAAAACCCCAAAAGAATATTCTGGGGGAAAGCCAGTATTTTGCAGGATTGAGGCAACAGTCGCCCATCCAATGAACAACTTCAAGATACAATTGAGGATTTTGCAGGATTGAGGCTGTATCCAATGTTGACGTGGAGGCAGTTGCAGGATTTTGCAGGATTGAGGGTGCATCTTAGCAAAAAGGCTATGGGATTAGGGTTAGGGTTGTACATGTAATAATCAGTACAAGGGATCTTACACACTGTGTTAGCATGCGTGACAGATTTCTGCTGGTCATATGTCCAAGATATGAAAAACAAAGGTCTCTGAATATTTAAAGTGTCTGGGAAAAATTACAAGTATCTTTGTGAATTATGCAGGTAGCATCTGGTTTGTTGTCCTTGTTTACTGTTAACATCGCCTGGTATTATTGTTTCAGCTGAAGATGAGATGATGATCCTTTTTAAGTTACATGTAAATCACAACGTGTGTATGGTTTTACATGTTTACATGTTCTACTTTGAAGGACAGGTGAAATCTTTTTGTAGTCATTTTTATTCTGCACAGCGACTGTTGATTTCTACCCTACTGTTGCTGTAGTGCACAGTGATGATTTACTTGTCAGAATCAAGTTCCTGAAATCAGTGAATTTCCAAAGATTTGGTGCATAGCTGCGTATATAGCTCGCAACGATTGCAGGTACCCACGGATTTAACGTTTGTGGTGAAACACTTCATGGGGTTCTTCAGAAATGGCCGGATATACCGGGGAGTCGGCCACGGTAAACTTCCAGCTGGAGATGTCACAGTCTAAGTCCTACTTTCCCATCTTGTTTAGTCCGTTGGGTAAGTGAAATTAAAACCATCGAGTGATTGACGTAAGGCTTTTAAGGCCAGACAGCTGGACAGGTCCTACATGTGTGTACATCTTGAGGAGCAAGGACAGCCCATACAACGAGTTGGCGAAGCCACAATCTGTGCCTCTGTGTTTGTTTTGGACTTACTTCGGTAAAACATCCCCAGCGCTTAGGCCGGTCTGGTCAAATAAAAAACAAACGCAGAACGGAATGCTGGTTACTTCAAAACCAGAGACCAAATTGAAATGCACACAGTGCCTGAGTGACAACTTGAGTATTTTTTTTTACCCAAGTGCTCGGTGACAACAGACACTTTCGCAACCGACAAACGTTTCCTGAATTCTTGACACGTTGTGTTGTGTTGTTCATCGTTCGCTGTGAAATGCCGGTTTATAAAGCCCGCCTCAAACCAGAGCTATGCACTGAGCAAAAAGTCTCTCAAGGCGGTTTGCTCAGCACGTAGCTCACCGTGCGCGGTGATTTTTTGCTGCGTTTTCTGCCTCGCGAGACCGTGAGGCCAATTTCTATCCTGTTTGATTTCTTTCGCCTTGTGAGACGAAAATCTCACCGTGTGCCACAAACCTGAGCTACATGCTGAGCAAATGGCCTTGAATGACTTTTTGCTCAGCACGTAAGTCTCGTGTGCGGTGGCTTGAGCTACGTGCTGAGCTAAAAAAAAAGTTAACTAACCAGTGAAAACACATTGTTCTTTGGCAGTCAGGTGATTTTTTTTTTTTTTAAATGGGGACAAACGCCAGCAGGCTTTAGAAGATTTCCACAAAAAAATATCTTTAAATCACGTGTACAGAGTACGTGATTTCATTGGCTAATTAATCTTTTTAGCTCAGCACGTAGTTCAGGTTGTCGGCACGTGAGCTACGTGCTGAGCAAACAGCCTCAAGAGACTTTTTGCTCAGCACGTAGCTCTCGTGTGCGACAGGCTTAAGCGGTCGCGGGATGATTTAAACTTCTGACTCTGATGGTCACTTCCACTAGTTTACATGTATAGTCGTCGAACATATGTGCATCACGCAAAATTCAACTGTGAAGTGTGACGATCAAGCATTGCTAAGCTGCTAAACAAAACATTCTTACAAAACATTGCACACTCTGGCCGTTGTTCTTTGCTGTTTGATAT